TTTTGAAGTTATACTTGTTTAGGCGCGTTATGAAAAATTGATGAGAGTGAAATTTTACGATGCGCGCGCACCGTGACACAAAATTAACAGAATGAAGTTGCCCACGGAAGATGCTACGGCATTGGACATAATTTAAAAACAACATTTGAATAATAATAGGATTTATGTTACACTTAATGTAAGAGAATAATAATAAATATTTATTTATTTATTTTTTCAAATGTAAACTGAACTTGACTGACTATAAAGGCTCCTTTTCCAGTCTTTGATTATTTAATTGTAATTAATTATTTGCATGCAATCAAAAACTATTTTTAATAATGCCAAAGAAGTATAACTTCTTACGCGCGTACATAAGTATACGCACCCTTTTTTTTTAATGGCCCTTTAAGCGCCAGATTTTTGCATGAATGATATTAATTATTCTTATAGAGCCACCACCTAGACATACCGGCTACCACACAATTTTCTTTAATCGTAAGAGCATGTGTAGAGTTACCTGAGACCAACACTGCTATCTAACCAGTTACATCAGCGCAAGTATGAAAAATAAATAATAAAATAATGGAGTTAATCTGTAACTCCATTATCATTCTGCCTCAGACTTGAAAACGTAGTTTAGGTAACTAAACATCAAACTAAATATATTTGACGTTGAAGAGGTTCCCTTTGAAATTGTTAGATCTAAGTACAACACCTACTCAAATGTATAATGAAAACTAGTCAAATCAACCAGGACCAAGATCTTATTATTTCAACGACCTAAAAACTCATTTCGGTTTATACAAATGTTTGCGATATAAACACAAAAATCACAATAAGCCATTATTCTATACGAATACTTTATTTTCATATATATACTATATAAACCTGGATTAACTATGTTTAATTTATTCATTAATCGCATTTTAATTCGAATAATATTATTCCAAACGCTTCAGCTCTCCAACAGTACACCGCGCAACCTTAACCAACTTACTTTCTGTATTACAATACATTTAGCCCCCAAACTCGCGGGCTACAGTCCAGCGTACCTTCACTCTCGATATAACAAATTTGCCGAGAGAGCAAGACGTTTGACTGAGTGTTTAAAAGCATTTCAACTTGGACAGGGAATTATCATTGCGGATATCTATCCTTCGAAGAGATTAAAGTTTTTTCTTAATTCTTAAGGAATATATTTACATCAGGCCGCGTGCGGCCCAAGCGCATCGCGCATCCTCTACATAAGGTATTTGCTGGAAGTAGAAAACGTTTAGTTATGTGTTTGAAAGCATTTCAATATTTCACAAGTGTTGCCAGTGCAAAATTCTCTCCTTCTTTAGAGTATCTGACTTTTCCCCTAATTCATTCATAATTTGGCCCCTAAACTCCAACGCCGCCACCTCGCGGGTGTTTAAGCTATAATAGTGTAATGTTCAAGTTTGAAAAAAAGCAAGCTTTTAAACGTAGTTTTAGACACATTCTGAGCACTTTCAGATAGGCTTTATACAAATATTAAAATACTTGTGAATTAAAATAATATATTGTGAGCATACTACATACTTACATACAAATAATAATTTCCCTAACTTTTTTTTGGACTTACTCACATGGTTATCCAATATGATCTCCGATGTATGTAATCTAATTCTGTTATTCTTATGTGTAAATTTGCCAATACACATTAATAACTTATTACAAAGCTATCTTCAAAGAATTGTAATAAGTTATCATTTATATAAATTCTCGCTTTGTTATTAAACAAAATAAAACAAAAATTCATACATATATTCATAGTATTTAAGTATTCTATTAGTTAGTAATATGTAGTTATTAAGTATAAAAAATGCTGTGTTTGCCTGTTAAAAGGTGTGCAGTTAGGTTTCACTGCTAATCTTAATAAAACATAAAAGTTGTCCAAAATCTGACTAAAAGAAATATGACTAGTATAAATAATTTTGAATTACCTTATACACAAATTTAATCCTAAAAGGATTATACTGGAAACTCGTCACTTAACTAAATTAGTCAGGCAAGACCTGGAGGAAAGCCAAAGTGCCGCTCCAAACAGTTCTATTAACAATAATTAATTTAATACATTCTTCCTTGGTGTTCTGAATTCTAGAAATTTGAATTGTCAAACAAGAGATTCCAAATTTTGTATGGTCTTTAGTTTGGTGTACTATACTAGTCTCTGCCATGTCAAAGAGGAATGGAAAGAAGCATGGTGGGTGTAACACTGAGACATCGAAAAAGTGCAGAAGAGATAGCAACCAAAGTAGAAGACATTATAAAGAAAATAAGGCAAATGAAATGGCGCTGTACCCGGCACATGACAAGAGATAGCAGGTTGAAATGGACAAAAATTATTACAGAATGGCAACCACGCGATGGAAAAAGGAAAAGAGGAAGACAGAGCAAGAGATGGGCAGACGATATAAAGAGAATAGGAGGCACAACTTGGACAAGAAGAGCTAATACCAGAAAAGAATGGAAACAGCTGGAAGAGGCCTATGTGTCACCGGACACGCGGACTACCTAAAACGGGTCAAGTGACGTATTAGATTAAGTTTTATTTATGTATCAGAATTAAGTTTTTTTTTATGTAACTTAAATAATTGTTATTACATTGTACTGGGTGTCAGCAATAAAGGCTTAATAATAATAATAATAATAAAAAACTAGTCGCTGGGCACAATACAATAGCATCATTGCGTACGCGGACTTCCCCCGTTTCTATTTGGACCCCGAAAGCTTTGTTATAAGGCCACCTGCTTTACTTGTAAAGCTTTCGTTACAAGCAATATTTTGGAGGATGTAAAGTTATTTATGTATTTGGAGCGTCAGATCCGAGTTCAAATCTAATCATTAAAATTATTCCCGATTTTGGCTTTATTCTATTAGAGCCTTGTTTCTACGCCACAATATTAATCGCTATAAGAAACTATTTCTTCTTTAAGATTCTGTATGTTTTGTAGGCCAACATAATAGAATAAAACATAGTTGTCGAAATATTAGATCTTGCGTATAGTATTACTATAGCTTTCTATCGCGCTGGTAATAGCTTGTGTCTTGATGATTCAATCTATCTGACTATTTCCTACTAATATACGGCATCGAAATTGTTTCAACAAATGCATTCATTGCAATATATAGCTTTATAGCTAACTAGCCGTTTCGCGCCCGCTTTGCTGGACGAATTAAAATAAATTTTATGTTTCATATTTTTTATTTTTTCAATTTATTCTTCTTTTAACTTCCCGCTAAGAAAATTGAAATATTTCGAAAATCGAGTTTTTAACAGATGTTGACGTTTAGAGGTTCTAGGAACCCCCCCGATGTTTCCGCGGTGAAGTCCGTATGGATAAATTTTCATAAAAGTAAAACAGCAATAAAAAAATGAAGGAACGTTGGAATTTAATAAATAAATAGCCATAAACCATCTAGGACCATCATTTCGCATCGAATGGTGGTAGTTTCATGTCGATACGATCAGTGGTTTAGGCGTGAAGGAGCCTCAAACGAAGACCATTTTTCTTTTATATATATAGATAAGTAATTATAATTACTAAAAAAATATTACAGTTAAAAATTAAAATTTATTGTAGTTTTAAAATTACTTAATTAATAAAATAATAATATAATAATTGTAGAACTAACAAGCATTACATTTGTTACCACCATTATTAGACGTAACACACAATCATGACAAATCTTAATTACAGGCTTTAAATCGCAGAAACGTAATAAAATTTATGATTTTTTATATTTTTGTCACGTAAAAGATTGCCATCAAGTAATTGAATTTAAAATTAAATTTTAAACAATTTTAAAACGAATCGGTCATACGTACGCCGTCAAAAGGTAGCAATTATTCATCAAAGCGCTTGATAATCTTGTAACGTTTGTAAACAGCAAGGCTAAATTGAACAATGTTCAACTCAAATATGCGAGCCAACTAAAAGTAACTCCTATTTTCCAATAGATACAGTTTAAAATGTAAAATTAGCTGAATGTTCAACGCACGCGAGTGCCTTCCGGCAATTCGTTACTTGGAACAATTCGTTAAGAGAGTGGATATAAATTTGTTTTGTAATCTAGCCGTAATCCTTACTGGAGTAATTAAAAAGGGTTGAAGGTGTAACGGACATTCAACCCGTCTAATAGAAAATTATTCGTTAAAGCGTTCCGTTTAAGAAAACGAAAAGATACTAAATATATTTTCTTTTCGAATAATATTAATTTTAACTTGATTTAAAAAAATAGTTTAAATTCTATTAGGGTAAGCTAAATCTTTAAACTTGATTGTTACCAAAATATGGACCAAAACCATATAATTTTGTACTTTAAATTAAATATAATTTTATGTACTTAAGTAAAATAAATTCGTTACAGTATTTTTTTTGTAATGCTATTATGACTTGGACTAATATTGAACCCTATTTCCATAAAGTAATTAGATGAGGCAACTCAGTATTTTAAAAAGAAAACTTACTGAAAATTATTATAGTGACACTATTGTAAGCAAAAATGGTTGCAATAAGCCCTTTAAGGAACTAGTTTCCTTCAAGTCTATCTAGCAACACGCTAAGGCCATATATTGTTCAAAGCAAATAGTACTGTTAATTTGTAACTATACACAATTGACCAAAAATATACAATTTCGTTTAGCTAATAGATTCATGCTACGACATGGCAGGCATTACAATCAACACAAAGAGTTCGCCTTGAAGAAAAATATCCAATAGCTATACTGAAACTTGTTTTTTATAATCCCACAGTACGTCCTTGTAATTTATTGTAATTTAAATATTAATTGTAAACTGTGATAACATTGTCATACATTCTTTTTAGTTTTTCTGTAATTGTTTTTGACAGTAATGTTGGATAATTATCTGTTTTTTTTTGTATATACTTTAATTAAAGTATTTAATTAATTCAAGAAACAGCAATTACAGGTATAAAAACTTACTGACGCATATGAAGCCCTCAGTAATATTCCATATTCAGTCGCGATAATGGCTTCGAAAATTGCCGTAGTTACTGGTGCAAATAAAGGCCTTGGTTTTGGAATTGTTAGAGAATTATGTAAAAGAAATGTTGAAGTGGTTTACCTCACCTCAAGAGACATACAACGCGGAAAAGATGCAGTTACAAGTTTAGAAAAAGAAGGTTATAAACCTAAGTTTCACCAGCTTGATGTCACTGATGAAGATAGTGTCAAAACATTTGCCGATTTTGTGAAGGCAAACCATGATGGTCTAGATATTTTGATTAACAATGCGGGCCTGTTAGATGCTAACTACTATAAAGTAAGCTATGAAGATGCAAAGAAAATTATAGATGTTAACGTCCATGGAAAAATTTTAATGCAGAAATATTTCTTTCCGCTATTAAGAGATAATGGTAGAGTTATTAATATATCCAGTGATTGGGGACACATAAAAAATATTCAAAATAAGGACTGGGTTGAACGCTTAACTAAAAAGGATATCAAATTGGAGGATGTGTGTGCCTTTATTGATTGGTTTTTGAATTCTATTAAAAACAACACACTAAAAAAGGAAGACTTTTTTGAAAACACAGTTATGGCATACAGGGTATCGAAAGTTGCAGTTTTTGCACTTACTCGAGTGCAGCAAAATGAGGTGAATAGAGGGATTTCAATTAATTCGGTTAATCCGGGAATTGTTAAAACGAGTATGACCCACGGAACTGGGGATTTCACAGTGAGTGAAGCCAGTGTTACACCTGTGTTTATAGCTCTTGATATTGATCAGTCCGTTAAAGGGAAATTCATTTGGTATGACAAAACTGAAGTAGATTGGGCAGACCACAGTTTAAATGTTATAGTTCCATTTGAAAAATTTGAACAAGGATTGGCAGAAGTAACTAAATCTTAAATCTTATCGATTTAGCTTAAAAAAAGTATTAGATCTAATTTTGTTTATATATCAGAAATTTGTTTTCCTACATTATATGGCGTTTATCCTAAGATACTGTCTCATTCTGATTTTAATCAGATAATAACAGAATTTTGCTTATATATATTAAGCATGATACAGCAGTTTTATAATTAACTAGCAGATAACCTTAACCTTTTCATAGTATAAATAACACTATCTCATATAAATGAACTGGCAGTTAATTGCAATCGAATTAAGACGAGTGTCGCAATATAACATAAAAGTCCCCAATACTGTTACTGGTAAAAGACATTCTTCTGAAAGATGGAAAATAAGATTGCTATTGTTACCGGATCCAATAAGGGTATTGGATTTGAAATTGTTAAGGAATTATGTAAACGGGGTGTTGGTGTGGTATATTTAACTGCCAGAGACATTCAACGTGGTCAAAAAGCTGTACAAGAGCTAAATAGAGAAGGTTATTTCCCTAAATTTCATCAACTCGAAGTGAATAATAAACAAAGTGTGAAAAACTTTGCCGATTATTTAAAGAAAAACTACAATGAAATAGACATTTTAATCAATAATGCTGGTGTAATTAATGAAGATTTTTATAAGACTTCATATGAAGATTCAAAATACATTATCGATATTAATTATAATGGTATATTGTTAAGTGAAGAATATATTTACCCTATCATAAAAGACAATGGCCGAATTATAAATATTTCAAGTGATTGTGGACACATATCAAACCTCAAGAATAAGTATTGGATTGAGCGGCTTACTAAGGATAATTTACAACGTGACGATATAAATGATTTTCTTAGTTGGTTCCTGCAGTCAGTGAAAAATAATACTATTGATTACAATGATTTTGTAGAAGACAAAATTCTTTCTTACAGAATTTCTAAAATCGCAGTTTGTGCGTTAACAAGAATTCAACAGAAAGAAATAGGAAAGAATATCTCAATTAACTCTTTACATCCTGGGTTCGTAAAAACTAACATGACTAAAGGCTGTGGTAATTTTACCTTGGATGAGGCAGCTGACACACCTGTTTATTTGGCTCTGGATATTGAACAATCGGTCAAAGGCAAATATTTTTGGTTTGATAAAACTGAACAAGATTGGACAGACCCAAATCTTAAATTGTACTGTGTTTTCGACACAATTGAAAATCAGTTGCAGGGACCCAAATAATTGTATCAACATTAAAATTAATTTATTATTATGTGTGTAATAAAACATAACCAAAAGTTCGATTTAGTTTATTTATTCCTGAATGCTTGACAAGTATAACGATAGCAATAGCCTTTAAATGCAAAACGTAATAGGTGCAATAGAATAAATATAACTTAAATCACATTTTTTCGCAGAATAAACGCTTCTTTACAATGAATGTTCAGAAAACGAAATTGGCTGTCCTGTGAGCGGAATAGATTGGTGCACTTAGAAAAGTAGATGCAAGGTCTTTTAGATTCTATTTCAAAGGGTTAGATAGTATATTAGCGTATCACATTTGAAAATGGTCAAGTTTATAGTTGCGAATGCATAATGGTCTGTAACTAAGCGGGTCGTTTCGGAGTGATTGTATAAATTCTAGAATTTGGTCAAGAAATAGCATTTGCACTTCTATTATTTTGTTCTTTAAATGAACTTATTTGCAATTTATTTCTTTAAAATTTTAAATAACCCTTTTAAAAATAGGCAAAGTTATTCACTATTAATTTCACAGACATTCACTTGTTTAAACAACTGTTATTGTCATGTTAAAATCAAAAGTTAAATTTATAAAACGAAAAATAAAAATTACTTGAATTTACGATACAGTAATAGTTAAGTATTAAATGGAAGCGTATTGTCATAAAAAAAATTATTCCGGCCTATTTAATGTGCAACCCACAATGTCCACATTACACAATATATACACACCACAGAATTTTCAGGAAGAATAGCACCGCTACAAATAGGTATGCCTGAAAAAAAACGGAGACTAAAAAAACTTAATAAAACAATTGCATTGTAGCAGAGCTTTTGTAGATTACAAAATAATATGCACATATATTTGGAACATCTGCTGGGATGCAGGCAAGAATACATTACGCAAATTCACACAATTCTAGATTTTATATCCCATTGGAGCTTACTTTCATTTTCTTGTTGAAAGTAATAAATGAAAAATAGTAAAAACAATATGATTTAATCCATTAATTATGTTGTTTTTTTATTCATTAGCCTTTCGACTTGTTAAGTTAAATATAAAACAACCCTAAGGCGTGTTTAAACCCTTGTTGTACAAATAATTTTTCGGTTTATGTTTACAAGGAACGCTGCCTCGTATGGTGAAGGAAATCAAAATGCGGTACTAAACAGTTGAGTAAAATAATAAATTATTAAAGATTAAATATTGTTATTATCCTACTTTAAGGCAAAAAATATTATTTAAAATTATGTAAATTAATTGAAATAAATAATACATAACCGTATATACGCCGGTCCAAGTCCGACCAGTCCACCACAAGTAGCACGTGTTCACGAGTATGGTTAGGCTTCGGCCCCAGACTAGCAATGAATTAGGAACCTAAAATGAATAAGAAATTATTTACAACTAATTATTTCAAAACGTTCTCCGACACGTAAAGCTTAATGTTTATTTATTAAGAAGACCATTATTAGGGTGTGTTGTTTAGTTGTTCAATTCGGATGGTTAGAGAGATCTTGGTTTCATTCCCACGAGATATTAATTTTCAGGTTTCAAGATAAAACTAATAATGAAAGATGCTGAGATGATCGTAGTTATGGGGTACAGATTTTATAAAGATTATATTCTTCTGTGTCTGATACAAAACATTTCTTAACATCTTATAATTTAGTAATAACATAAAATGAAATTAAAAAACTGAATTTGATTTAAATGATAATTATACATCCCCATTGAATCTTGAGACTACGACTCCAAGTCTTCGTCAACCACTGTCTTTGCCGTGTTCTGGGTATCTACTGGCCCGAGAAAATCTCCAACGAGAAACTTTGGGAGCTGTGCCGAGAAACTCCGACTAGCCAGCAAATCAAGCCACGCAAGTAGAACTGGATAGGCCAGAGATTCCAATCATATCCCCAACCAGGCACTTGATTGGAACCCGCAAGGTAAGCGGAAATATCACCTTCTCCAGCAAAGCAGGTTGTAAAGTTGCAGATGAGGCAAAGAGAGTCGGCAAGTCATGGAGCGAGCGAAGCTAAAGACCAGTGAGTTGCTGGACTCCTATGGACGCCCTCTGCCTTATGGTCATAAGATAATTAAGTCATAGAATCTAAAATTGTTTGAATAATTATATAAATAATAAATTTACTAAGAAGGATTGTAATTGTATACATCAATTCATATCAAGGTTGGTTACATATAAAATATTTAAAATACACTCAATTTAGTAAATTCAATTTAATAAACTTTAATCAGATTAATATTTTCAAGGCTTTGCGTAAACATTAACAAAATATATTTAGAATAAATCAAATAGTACTTAAACTAAGTACAAGTTCGGAATGCAAATAATTGTCGTCCGGACAGGAAGACATATTGAATCAATTTGTTTGTACAATTCTAACCGGGAGTCTGGCATATAAATCACACATCACTATGAAATATTGCCTTCATAAACCAGTCCAAAATGACCCCTCTCCACTAACACGTATACGTGAAATGGAGCCGAATGTGTATGGTCACAAATATTTGAATAAATCGTTCATAGAGTTCTCGTTTTGAAGAGTTTATTCAATTATGTTCATTGACTGAAAAAATATGTTTTTTATTATCAGATTTTATTTAACTGTTTTGTATATTAAACATACAATTACGTATTACATATTTCAATAACCATACAACTTATTAATAAAATATATTTTCTAGGTGTCCTAATTGTACTTGTAAAAAAAGTGTTTATTTACAAAATGCAAGCGATAAACGCTTAAATCTAATACAAGTATCAAAGAATTTTCATTAAGTTAAAATTGGATTCTTTTCCTTTGACCCATCGAGTTTTAAGTTGAGTGATTTTGGGCGTCGATATTAAAGAGATTTTCATAATCAATCAACACAGATTTTAAGCTATGTACAATGTTATTATTTTGTACTTTACTATGAAAAGATAAGTTTATTGTTAATACAAATAATGATAATAATTCAGTGGCGCTACCCTATATGGGCATTAACCTTAGATTGCATCCGTTTCTTTGATCATTGTCATTTCAAGTGGGTGATCAGCCTCCTAATAAATGTTGTCCATTTTTGGATTTGAGACATTCAGCTTTCCTTTTTCTCTTTTTTTTTTTTATAGAACGGGGGGCAAACGGGCAGGAGGCCCACCTAATTTTAAGTGATACCGCCGCACATGGACACTCTCAATGCCAGAGGGCTCGCGAGTGCGTTGCCGGCCTTTTAAGAATTGGTACGCTCTTTTCTTGAAGGACCGTACCAATTCTTCTCAATTAATTCTCGAATTGGTTCTCAATTAAAATCAAATTTTCGTCGCAGTTATAAAGCACATCTGCTTAATCAACAAATATCCCACGAAATCTAGTTTTTAATTCGCCCAAAAATATTTATTTATCCGTTTCTTATAGGTATAGTTTAACAAAGGTATAGTAGTATCAATTTTTTTACTATTTTTTTTTACTTAATGCTTTCACACACAAATCTTCCAAGACTTCTTTACTTCCGCTGGCCATAGACGGACCGCATTTTGCAGTCGACAACGACTGCTCAAGCCATAAATTCATATTCGCCATACACGGACCGCAGACCAGTTTCTGAGTGGTCGGAGCAGTCGCTCGCCGGTTTCGCCGCGCGGTCGACTGCTTAGGCAAAAAGCGGTAGCTGGGCGGACCACCATCGGTTGCGCCGACCGCGCGCCTCCCCCACCCCAAAAAAATAAATAAAATACTAACTAATTCATCAAATGAAACCACGGACATTCTAAAGTAGTTGGAAAACATTTTAGTGTCTTTCCAGCTGGGGGGATACAAGTGTAAATATTGTTCTCTTGATTGTAGTATTGACACCCACATACAGGGTTTTTTTTTGCGTCTAGGCGCAAAGCAGTCTCTTCATCGAATTCCATCTTGTAAATAAACTCGCAGAATTTTGGGTCAATCAGCGCTCCAAGTCAAGCCGACTGCATAATAAGGGTCGTGTTGCAGTCGTGTACGACTGCAACATACAGTCAAGTCTATGCACAGCGTTACAGTGTTAATTTTTTTCCATTTTTTTTCCATATATGTTTTTTATTATTATTTTTTTATGTGTTTCTGTGTGTTTCGTTACTAATGAATGTTATGTCTGTCTGTCTTTCCTCGCAATGTTATCCTTCGTACAAGCGAGTGATAGATGCGCACATAGACAGAATCCTGGTGGCCGGGAATCGAACCTACGACCTCAAAGAAGCTGAAGCTCCAGGCCAACACCGCTTTAATACCATAACACCAATAATATCTGGCATAAATATATACTATGAGTAAAATGTATCGCAAAAACAAAGAAATATCGGAGTACAATAAAATATTTGTATAATATTCGATCTTATACAAATAATTCATGCATAAAGACTCAGAGATCGTCTGAAACTTATTCGATTCCAATTGCGTCTGAAACCGAAGATATTCACCACAGAGCAAAAACAAAGGAAATGAAACGACGTACAGAAAAATAAAAGAAAAACGGCCAGGAATGAGTCGGGTCTATGCTATGGGGTTCTATTTTTTTCGTAAAATAATTTGTCATGTTTTCATAAGCATAAATATTTTTAATGTATAGAATAATAAGAATAGTGTGAATACGTTTTGTGTGGATAAAGTAACTTTGATGCAAACGCATTTGTTAAGGGCAACGATTAACTTTCCTATGAACTATTATTTTGTCAAATTACACTTACAGAACAATAAATTCAGTATACACTATAAAACAAATTTAATATTCGTCAAAGATGTTTTAATCTATTACCAGTAGATCCCTGAAAGGCAAATGAAACATGGAGATAAAAAAAACAAAAACAAAACGGTCCTTATCGCGCGAAGCCTCAGCCCCTTCGCATCGGCATTCAATGACGACGTCTTTGAGCGATCTCAAAACACAATTCAATTTTAACATCTTTCACGTAAAGGAATTTCGAAGGAGAAATTTGGGGAATACATTTTTAAATTGTTTTTCGGAAAACAAAATATTGATTCGACTAGCTTTACTTAGCCAAACAATTTAATTACTTTTGTTATTGTGCAAATTTTTATAAGATTTTTATAATCTCCATAGAAATTTTATTTTCCTTAAGATTCTCCTTTTTAGATTTAAACTGATTATGGTTGTGTATACAGGGACTCCCTAGTGGGGGCTAGTGATAGATGAATTTTATCTCGTCATGATTTTAGTGTTTTTTAATTAGGTATCATCGATACAGTATAATTATATTCTAATAGGAGCCAACAAATTTAGAACTTCAAATGATTGCAGTCTTTTTGTAATTTATTAGATCGTCTTTTTCCATACCATAAATATTTAATGTTGCTCGTATTGGCTCGGAGCAATAAAATAAAAACTACATACATATGCGTTCGTTGAAATCTTATCTAATATTTATGTTCTTATAAAAGTACTGGAATCAACATCTTTTGGCACTCACAAGGCAATGTTCACATTTTGGCCGCAAACTTTCAACTATCGACGCTCATTCGTAATCAACGGGCAGAACTCGTGAAATTTTCAGGCAAGCTGTATCAGCAATGAAGCTTTATACAAATTTATGGATAGAACCTCTTTGAACCTTCATTTGTTGTGCACTCATAAAATTACATGAATTCTTTTTAGTTTTTACGATATAGTATCAAAAACTATTAATAGATGGCAGCACATTAATATATGCTTATTGTGTATGTACATCGAATACTAAAACGCGGTAACATGTTAATTTCCAAGTCTATATAATTTTTGTTTTGTTCGTGATTGTGAAATCGTGGTATCCAATAAGTCAATTAGTTTCTTTATTGTAATATTATTAGTACTAGAACTTGATTTGTCATTTTAAACTTTAAAAAGGGTTAAACTGCCCCATGCTACATACAATGAGTCGTTATGTAATAAGACATTTCAATTCCCTAGTCGCGTTGTCCGTACTTTAAGTACATTTTTAAAATATTTTTTCTACTATTGAAAAGTTGACTGATCAAGCTTATTGTCTACCCACATTTTTGGTGCTGTTCTGTTTTGTTATTTTATATATGTACCTACATCTGTGCGCTCTAATTTCTAATTTTAAGTCTTAGTTTTAAATATGTGTTTCTCAGTAAGTGAATTTTGTATGCAATTCTTATGAGAAATAAAGTTATTCTTAAACCTAAACCTAAAATAATGTAAGAGCTGTGAGGGTTAGAAGATAAAATTTAATTAAATTAGTTCATTCCCTCGAAAAGCAAGCTATCAATACCACTCTGGCAATACTAAAAAGTAAAGATAAATAAAATTTAACGAGAAGGAGCGGGCCAAGAATCGAATAAACACAGCTACCTTAACTAGTATCTGAATTGCGTGATATTAATTTTAAGTATAGCATTAAAATATCAATACCATATTCTATTAAATATATGAGAAATTGCTTGCTACACATTTTTGTTAGTTATTTCAATTTAATCATTTTCTTTTTCATGATATATAACACATATAGTAACGTTTTTTACTAATTCCGAAATCTGGTAAAACTAATAATAAGCCGATGCCGTTAGAACTTTTTTTATATGTGGTTTGTGATAGCCAGGTCAAATCAGTTTTAGAATTCGTGCTAAAATTTCTTTAGGTTAAGGGGCGGGCCCGGTACCGCACAACCCTCCCAAAGGCCGAGAACAAATTTAAATTAAATTAAAACTTGCCCTCGAACCCGTTACCCCTCACCTAGCTGGGTTGATGCAACTTACACATGAATAATCATTAAAATTATGTTATTTATGACTTAAATGAAAATTTGTAGTTTCCATAGCCTTTATTTTTTAAGAACAAAGCTGATAAGATAAGATTGTATATAAAATTAATCTAAATCTTTACGTCGCTAAATTATCTAGTTAAATTGACAAACGTTCACCATTCTATTAGTCATAACTCATAAGTATCAAAGCATTACAGATACCAACTGGTAAGTAAGTACAAGAAAAGTAAACATCAATTTTACAAAGCACAATGTGCATACCCAAAATTACAATAATATGGAAATAACAAAGTTAAAATTGTTGCATTATGCGAATCATGGCCCATAAAACACTTTGTTAAATGTGCACATGCTTTAAATTGAGTAAAACGACTATACTATATTCTGTTAAACGTTAAATTGCTTGTGAAATGGCGCTTTTTAAATTATTCTCTTCTAGCTGCGCTTCAGTTTTCTAATAGTTTTTCGTTATTTATTAAAAAGATATCCACCGAAATTAAATAACTCAGACAAAAGACAAAATTAAAAATCACTAACACACTATTTATATATTTATTTGAGTTGCGTAATTGTTTAAAAATAACTAAATAATTCGTTCTTACATTGAAAAGTTGACACGCTCTTATAATACAGCTTTTTATCATTATTCACACAACCGGCAAAACACAAATTCCGACAAATCCAATTGTTTACCAGGGAACTAATCCAACCAGTTGAAAGCTATAAATAGTATTTGCTTACTTAACCAACAAGTATTTGTCTCAATGTATTTCTGATGAGATTACAATCAATATTTCTACAGCAGTTGAATGAGTCACTACCACAGTTGACATTCCAATTATCATCAAATCCATCCTATCTTGCGTCTAGTTCTTTATTTTCAGGAAAATGAGACTCAAGAAATAATTGGTTCGATACCAATAGATATCGATTCTTTTTATGAATGTTCGAGAGTTATTGTTCTGTATGGTCGTGGTGAATTTTGTTCTTTGTTTTACATTTTATACAATGGTCTGGGAATAAATTGTATTTTATTAATAAAGATTTCTAGGAAAATGCAGTTTATTGTTTGCTATTCCAACATATTGATTTATAACTTTGATTAGAATTGTTGCATTTAAGTTACTTGTTGTTATGTGTAATGTGATATAAATATTTACTAAGCAGACCCTTCGTTCATTTATGTAAATGAACACACCCAAAAAATATTGGTATGCCTTTAGGTCGCTTTTAATAATATTATGTTAGTAACAAATTTGATTAAAATAACGTAACTTAATTAGTAATTATAATAAGCTAATTAAAATGTAAGCAAGTATTGAGCCGGTACATTGTTGTTTAAAATAGGTTAAATATTTTACATATGAAATAACGAATTATATAACGTATATTATAAGTACGAACATTATCAATAATTTATTATTATGAGAATCCAGGAAAATATTTATAGTAGGAAGTGAAAAGAAACAATTTTATACAAATTTTATTATTTATTAACTTCTTCCAAAGCCTTTTCAAACGCATCAAACGTATCAACAACGTCTAAAGTAGAATCGGCCCAATCGACTTCAGTTTTGTCAAACCAAAAATATTTTCCTTTGACAGACTGATCAATGTCAAGCGCCAAGTAAACGGGAGTAACACCAGCTTCTACTACAGTCATATCACCACCACCTTTAGTCATGTTTGTTCGCACAAATCCCGGGTTAAGGGAATTTATCGAAATTCCTTTGCCAACATCATTTTGCTGCACTCTAGTTAAAGCAGACACTGCAACTTTTGAGACTCGGTAAGCCAAAACAGAGTTTTCAAAGAAGTCCTCTTCTTTCAGTGCATTATTTTTCACGGAATCTAAGAACCAGTTAAGAAATCCATACACATCCTCTAACTTTATGTCTTTATTTGTTAGACGTTGAACCCAGTAGGGATTCTTAATATTTGTAATATGTCCCCAATCACTGGATACATTAATAACTCGAGCATTATCTCGTAAAATTGGGAAGAAGTGTTTTTGCATTAATATTATCCCATGAACGTTGACGTCTATAATTCTTTTAGCTTCTTCAAACGAGACTTTATAAAAGTCTGAGTCGAGAACGCCGGCATTGTTTATTAAAATATCTAGACCACCATATTTGTTCTTCACATATTCAGCAAAAGTTTTAACACTTTCTTCATCACTAACGTCAAGTTGATGATACTTTGGATAAAAACCATCTTTTTCTAACTTTGCCACAGCTTCCTTACCACGTTGTATGTTTCTTGACGTAAGATAAACAACTCCAACATTTCTTCTACATAACTCTCTTACAATACCAAAACCAATGCCTTGGTTTGATCCGGTTACTAAGGCAATTTTAGATGTCATTTTACCGTAACATGTAAAATATCACTGTCAAATAATATTAAAATAATAAGGTATAAATGAATGTAGATAATTGTAAAGTAAATAGTATTAAGATAACGCTATCACTAGCAATAAGTGCAGTCCACTTTGTACCAATTTAATTAAAATATGAAGTCTTGTTACAAAGAACCGGGTATTTGTACATACATTCAAATTAGATACAATGGTTCTCAAAGTGCAGGAAATACAAAAACTAAGAGCTAATATTAGCAAGCAATAGAAAAGATAGGTAAACGATGGTGACTTCAGTTTTTACGTGTGGTTCTAACATAAGTAATTTTAATAAAATAGTAAGAGGACACACTATCATCTATTGACACTATTTCCTATTATTCATTTTATTCAGAAATTCAGTAAATGCGTTCAAATCTACATAGTCAAATACCAAAGAAGTATTGGCCCAATCTTTCTGGGATTTATCAAACCAAATGTATTTTCCTTTGACTGACTGATCAGCATCTAAAGCTAAAAAAATTGGTGCATCAGAAGCTTCTTCGGGTGATAACATACCAGTTCCTTTTGTCATTGGTGTTTTTACAAATCCTGGATGAAGTGAGTTTATAGAAATTCCTCTTCCAATGTGCCTTTGTTGCACCCTTGTATATGCACACAGTGCCATTTTTGATATTGCGTATGGTAAATAAAATTTCCAACTAAAATCTTCTATCCTCAGGGTATTATTTTTCACTGAATTCAAAAACCACATAATAAATTCTTCAATATCGCTTAATGTAAGATCTTCTTTGGATAACTTTTCCACCCAAAATTTATTCTTTAGCTGTGATAGATGACCTGTGTCACTACATATATTGATTACACGAGCGTCATTATTCAAGAAACAATACAAATATTTTTCAAGGTTGAGAACACCATAAAAATTTACATTAATAACACGCTTTGCGTCTTCATAATCAATCACAGTTAGGTTTTTACAAATGACTGCTGCATTGTTAACAAGAATATCGATAGAAATTTTTTGTATTCTTATATAATCCGCAAATTTCCTTACACTTACTTCATCTGTAATATCAAGTTGATGGAATACAGTACTATAATTCTCGCGTTTTAATTTATCAACCGCAATTAAACCTCGTTTTTCATCACGTGCCGTTAAATACACTTTTTTAACTCCACGCTTACACAATCCCTTTACGATACCATAACCAAGGCCACCATTTGCACCCGTTACAATTGCGACTTTTTTAATCATTTTTTAAAGGACATCCCTTGTAACACAAACATGACGTGCACCAAGCCTTGTTGCTATTTTATATGTCAAAAGTATAATAATATAAACAGTCAGTTAATTAAATCGCCTCATAAGGTCAATCGCGTCATATGTTTGTTAATGAATTAATTATAAATAGGTACATTGATCAACAAACACAAGAAGATTTCTTGTAGCTGTTTTGGCTTATGAAGAATTTTAATTTCTTTATTATTTAGATGTATGCTTATGAATTTTCTGTTGGGGTTAAAATTAAAAAAATGAAGCAGTAATTTAATACTATTTTATAAAACGTGACTATTAAAATGATATATAGGCATAAGTAAAAGAGAAAAGGAATATTGTATTATATTTTTTGACATCGTAACACTTTACAACATAGATACAAAGAAAGATAAATAACTATAATACCAAAGCAGTCCACATTCAATGATATTCTTATTCCTCATGATAAACTTTTAAAGGTGTTTCTATAGCTCTCCGATCTAGTAATTTTTTGAACAGGCTTGGATCAACGTAATTTAGGTCTAATGAAATATTAGTCCATTCTTTTTCGGTTTTGTCAAACCAAATGTATTTGCCCTTGATAGATTGATCAGCATCTAAAGCCAAATAAACGGGAGCATCACTGGCTTGCTCAATAGTTAGCATACCTGTTTCCTTCGTCATTGACGTTTTCACAAAGCCAGGGTGCAACGAATTTATAGAAATTCCTCTCCCAATTTTTTTCTGCTGTATTCTCGTGTATGCAGACAAAGCAATTTTTGATACTACATACGATAAAAAATAAGGCAACGAAAAGTCTTCTTCTTTCAAAGTATTATTCCTTACCGCGTCTAAAAACCAATCCGTAAATTTTTTGACATTATCTAATGTTAAGTCATCTTTTGAGAGAGTACTAATCCAATATTTATTCTTCAGTTTAGATAAATGCCCAAGATCACTCGACACGTTGATAACACGTGCGTTATTATTTAACAACGGAAAGATATACTTTTCAATAGTGAGAATGCTATCAAAGTTGACACTGATAACGCGATTCGCGTCTTCATATGTTGCTCCTGTTACGTTATCACCTGCGACTGCAGCATTATTAAATAAAATATCAATTCCTCTGAGCTCTGTTTTAATAAAACCAGCAAACCTTATAACACTTTCTTCATTTGTTATGTCGAGTTGGTGAAAAAGGGGATTGTAACCTTCTAGTTTTAGATTATTTACAGCTTCTACGCCTCTTTTTTCATCTCGAGCCGTAAGATAAACATGGCTGACTCCTCGTTTACATAACTCTTTCACTATTCCCAAGCCAATACCTTTATTAGCTCCAGTAACTATAGCAACTTTATTTATCATGTTATCGGTACAAAATATGCCCACACACTGACAATGTGGAGCAGGCTTGTCTGATTAAATAGCATTAAAACATTGTAATCGCAATATTATGTATATTAGATAGATATATTATCCATGCAATAACAGATATAATTATATCAATAGTCCAACCTGCATTGCAAAATATTAAAACAAAGAAATGTTAGAGCATGCAGTGCAGTTATAGATGCAGGTACTAAACACACACAAAACTATCCACACTCGTGCAACGCTCATCCTTTTTTGTGGAGCTCCCCCCGGCTCCACGCTCACTAGAGACAATCCCTATCCCATACGACTTCTGGGCCTAGTATAAGACACGTTATGTTATATTAAAAATATTAAAAAAGGACGTGTTATTCTGTAATGATTACATATGATATACAAAGCTATAGTTTAAAAAATCCTTAATGATAAAATTAAGAGATTTTTTGCAAAAATTATTTCATAGTATGCTCGTCCACATAATTTAAAACTAAAGAAGTATCCGCCCAATCTACTTCAGCCTTGTCATACCAAATGTATTTTCCTCTAATAGATGTATCAGCATCTAACGCTAGATAGACCGGTGCCTCAGCAGCTTCTTCGATGGTTAAAAGACCAGTTCCTTTTGTCATTGAAGTTTTCACAAAACCCGGGTGCAGTGAGTTAACACATATACCCCTGCCAGTTTGTCTCTGTTGTACTCTCGTGTACGCTGAAACTGCTATTTTTGCAACAACGTAGGAATAAAGAAACTTCCATGTAAAATCTTCTTTCTTAAATGTATTATTTTTAATTGAATCTAAAAACCAACTTGTAAAATCTTTTATATCTTTTAGCTGTAGGTCATCTCGCGATAGTCTTTCGATCCAGTATTTGTTTTTTAGTTTAGAAAGATGACCACTATCACTTGATATGTTAATAACTCGCGCGTTATCATTTAATAACGGATAAATATACTTTTCAATTGTGAGAATGCTATTGAAATTTACATTTATAACATTTTTAGCGTCATCATATGTAACTTCTGAAAATGTTTTGCATGCCACCGCTGCGTTATTTACTAAAATATCTATACCGCTGTGTCGGTTTTTCATATAACATTCAAATTTTTTAATACTTTCTTCGTTTGTTATGTCTAGCTGGTGAAATACTGGATAAAAGCCCTCAGAATTAAGGATTTTCACAGCTTCAGTGCCTCGTTTTTCATCACGCGCTGTTAGATATACAGTTTTAACACCTCGCTTACATAAAAGCTTTATGATACCAAATCCTATGCCTTGATTAGCTCCAGTAACGACGGCCACCTTGTCAATCATGTTCACTATTTAATGCGATTAAAACAACTATTATGCGATTTACAACTAAATAAAAGACGTAAAAACATTAATTGCACTGATTTTATTAAAGCGTGCTTGGTTTACATATAAGAGATATTAATTTATAATTTATAGCTAGTGCTTACTTGTACGGGTGTAATGACAAATTAGGCTTAAAAGTAATTTAATTTATTTTCTAGTATGGCCACATATAACCTATTCACAATGATTGTTATACGTTGTGTTGTAAGTTATAGATTGTGAATCCTTTTTGGCTTAAGTCTTAAATAATGAAGTAAGTTTAATGAGTACGATATAAATATTAATTATGCTCATAACTAACGATAAAAAGTAATTATTTTAACTACCTTGGGGTTCAGACGACAGACACGTAGATACAAAATAAACCAATTATTATGCGAATGTTTTTTATAAAATATTATTTGTTTTGTTAATAGATACTGAAGATCAATTATTCAACTTTTAATAAAAATATATATCAAAGCAATATATTACTAGATAAATTTTTCAACAAATTCCTTGTATGTTGCTGGATCAATATAATTTAAGTCTAAGTATATATTTGTCCAATCTTTTTCAGTTTTGTCAAACCAAATATATTTACCCTTAATCGACTGATCAGCATCTAAACATAAATAGACAGGAGCATCACTTGCTTCTTCAATAGTTAAATAACCTACTTCTTTCGTCATTGATGTTTTTACGAAGCCTGGGTGCAACGAATTAATCGATATATCTCTATCTATTTTTCTTTGTTGCACGCGTGTGTACGCAGAAACATAAATTTTCGATATCACATACGAAAATAGGATACTCCATTCAAATTCTTCTTCATTCATGGTATTATTTTTTACTGAATCTATAAACCACTTTGTGAAATTTTGTATATCACTTAATGTTACATCTTCTTGAGCCAGTTTTTTAATCCAATATTTAATTTTAGAAAGATGACCGCACTCACTAGACATATTTATGATGCGCTTTGTCATTTAAAAGTGGAAAAATATACTTCTCAACTGTGAGTAGACTATTGAAGTTCGTATTTATGACTTCAATCGCATCCTCGTATGATACTCCCGTAATATCTTTAGTTGCAATTCCAGCGTTGTTAATAAGAATATCAATACCACTATGACGACTTTTTATAAAATCTGCGAACTTCTTAACACTTTCTCCGTTGGTTACATCAAGTTGGTGAAATAGGGGTTGGTATCCTTCAGCTTCTAGGGCTTTTACAGATTCTGTGCCTTTTGTTACATCACGTGCCGTGAGGTACACAACTTTAACACCACGTTTACATAACTGATTTACTATGCCATAACCTATTCCCTTATTGGCACCAGTAACTACTGGAACTTTGTCAATCATGCTGTTACGATGTTAAAAACACTGTTACTATCAAGTTTAACCTTCGGTTAAATACATGTTTAGCTAATGATAAATAAACTATCGTATTAGTTAAGTCAAAGTCCATTCCTTATATGTTCCGTTAATATTATTTGAACTTAATAAGTAACTTCAAATTTTATTTACAAGTATACAGAGTAATTTCAGTGCATGTACCTACCTTCGACTTAAAAAATATAACTCTAAGGAAGGAAAACTTCACTGAGTGAAGATTTTTTGTAAAAAAAATTATATAATTTAATGGCTTTAAATTTAAAGTTTTAGTTAAAAATAAAATTGTAAGATCAACTTAAGCAATTTGTTTGAAGAATGAACATATTTTTCACGTTTGTTTTCGCCGCATCATGTAAGAACGATTTGTCTTCCTCAGGAATAAAAATATTAAATTCGTTTAAAATATGAAAAACGTACTAGGAACAAGTGTGCGATGTTCGGCAGTAAACCCTTGTCCCTTGTCGCCCTTTACCCCGTCAAATATTATTTAAATAAGTTTATCATCATTGAGACATAACCATCCAGATTATATAATATGTAGTAGGTACATATAATTTTTATTAAAAAGCCGTTTTTATCTTAGTCATGTTAAGTCATGCGTAATTGTAATGCATATTACCGTAGACGGACTATAGTATAGACCAGGCATCAGCGTACATGGTGTCAGATAGCGAATGATCGACATATTATGTCGTATTTACAGTTTTAATTCATTGAAGATTGCTTATTCTTGACCAAAATACACATTCGAATGAATAATTCTTGAACAAAGTTACTGATTCGTGACAAAATAAGTTACTTACCGATGAAAGGTTATGTTTGGTTCTTTACGTTCACGTACTTTTACAGCCAATTATGCAACAATTCACAATAACTGACACTTTAAAGTTTAAATACACCTCTTATAAGGATAAAGTCTTAAAATATGGGTTTGACTTGGGTTTCACAGATTTATCAGCAAGTGAAAACTTGTTTACCACCAAGGGCTCGGTGGTAAACAAATAAAACCCGATACGCAAATAGAGACAGAAAAACTGATACTCTGTTTCGCTCGCACTTAAGTATTTCACGTTAATGCCTCCTCTCTTTAGTTATTATTGTTATTTTAGAAGCTTATCTTGTTCTATACTCTTTCTTCGCATATTACGAAAAAATATCAATGAAACGATCACTTTTTGACAGTTCAATGACATTGAAGCATAGCAAACTGTCAGTCCTACGCCTGCTCTCGTCATCCTTCTGTCACCGCTGGCGTGGCCGTTTTATCCTCATTATCAGTTTAGATAAACTCCTTTGTAGATCCCTTTCAAGTTACATGAGCAATATTTGTAATAATTATGATTCCCTAAAAAGAAGCTTGATGTATAATGTTCCAAATAGCTTTCTTGTTGCTTTGCCTTACAATTCCAAAAGGCTATACAAAAGCGAAGTTAAGTAAAGCTATTATAAGAAGATATATAGAAATAAGAAGTTAAGAATTGAAATACGAAGTTAAGAATTGAAATACAAAGTCAAGTACGCCTCAAAATTGATAGAAGGTAAAGGGTTGACAAGATTACATCAAGGGCCTTGGAAACCTGTTTGCTCGAATTTCAAGCAATACCTATCAGAACCATCGGTAAGTTTGCGATACAAATTTTTACGGAGCCCTCAAAGGGTCTCGGTAGCGATACCATCTTTTTAACCTTTTATGAGTCAAATAGTAAATGGCATCACAAATACCGAAGTCAAAGGAATTAAATTTTGTTTGGTCTCCCATTTTTAAGGTTTTGATAGATCGAACTATTTTCACAGGCGTTACAATTTTACAGTGAAAAAAATATATTATAATTCTATACAACTCGAATTAGACTTTTGCAAATTAGTCGAATCCTGTAAAATTTAATATTTGAAGTAATATTAGTTTTATTTGATATTAGTAAGACCTCAATATAAACAAGACATTTTTAATTTTAGTTTGTATTTACACCTTTAATATACCTAATCCCAATTAATGAACTGTGTGTATTTTTTTATATTTGCATGCTATACCTATATTATTACTTACTGTCTGATTTATATAGAACACGAAAGCAGGGCTTCGAGAGCGTATTTGGAACTAAAAAACGGAGGCACACATGACATTCACTTTCGAGTATTCGTTCAGTAACATATGTGCGGAAAGCTCTTTGGAGCGGTGCGACCTCAACGGGTGCTATCAGTTGCTTTTTCTATTAGAAATCGCGCCACATTTAGATCTCGCGTACCTAGAAACGTTGATATTTGTGAAATGGAAGTATGTATATTTAAAATGCCTTTCAAATATAGCTTACTTACGATAACAAGTTGAAATTAATCCAGGCGTATAGTAGCATAATGTTCAATCTAAATGTATGCAATTATTGGTAATCCGACACTTTCATGGCCAGCCAGATGGTAATTTTCGTAATATGCACCAAATACTCATAAACGGCGTATCATGTGTAATTCATTACTGAAATGAATTCAAAATTAATGAATAGCAACTTATTCAAGTGTATTAAAATATGTATTAACATTTTGATTTACATCAGTTGGAATAATGTACTAGTGGAGTTATGTATTTGGATCACTCTATATTGATCAGTACTTTATTGATTCGAGAGAAAACCCCATCACACATATATCAAAAGAGAGAGTGTTGTTAGGGATTGCGTGCTTTCTTTATTCTAGCGTTTACACATGTTTTTGAGTTAGACTTGCGTCAGTAATTGTCGTGAAGCTGTCGTAGAAATGTATTAGTTACCTATAATATTTAATATTATTTTCACAGGCGTTACAATTTACGTACATTGAAAAAATCTATTAAGTTTCTATACAACTCGAATTAGGCTTTTGCAAATTAGTCGAATCCTGTAAAATTTAATATTTGAAGTGTTAATTACACGACAATAATAATATTGTCATTTATAGGTAACTATAAAACATGACAATGACAATATTATTTTATATATTATATAAAATTACTATAATTTTGTTTCCAGTTATCAAAATTATTCTATAAATTACCTTCTAGATATTGCTTTTATTTTACAATTTGACTTTGAATATTGATGCAATTCAGACCTTATATAAGAACAATTCTGTGCCCTGGTAAAGCGACACAATTTGCAGTAATCTGTAAAAGATACTATGAATATATGATAAACTAATTTCTATGGTGCTAAATAATAAATGAAGCTAATTAAGTATAAATAAGAATGGAACATTTGTACTCAGTTATTCAATTTACCCTCACAAAATGTCTATTGTAAATGACATGATTAAACATTGATTAAGTTATAATGGATGTAACGTAGCGCTCTTTGGTTATTTAACGAAAATTGGGGTTTTTCCAAAAGGGTTTACGGGTAATTGGCGAGGAAAATGAAAAGGTTTCTTTAAAATCCGAGGAATCCGCCCGAACAGCCTTTTCTGTCATACCCACGCGAAATCTCGAGATCTTTTGAAATTTTACTAAATAAGAAAACGAGACTGTTTTTATTTAAGTACCTTCTTACATAGGGACTTTAATAGCAAAGGCGTACCGAGTACTTTGGTGCAACGTATTATGAAGAATATTTCCGTAGCTATGTGTTATTGTGTTAATAAACAGATTTTTAATTGTAGTCCCAATACAGTAGAAACAATTCTACATCAATTATTAATATATTAAAGGTGGCAGCACTTTGACCTTCCAACGCAGACAAATTACCAAGAATTGAAGCCTGGATTGATACCAATTATACCAATTATTATATCGCTTTAACAAGGTGTTTATTTGTGCTTTTAAAATTGTTTATAGTATTTCACAGATATTCGTATGATTATATATTGTTATTTACAATAACCTAGTTTAAAATTATATCCCTATATTTGTTTTCTTGTTTCACGTCATAATACAATTATCACTGCAAATAATAAATGAAACTTATCGTTATAAAGAATTTTAATTGTTTTGTACATAATAATAACAATTACCAACAAATTTAAACAGAACTGCAGTGGCGTAACTATAGCGTCTGAGGCCCGTGGAAAATTCTTTTGATGGGGCCCTATCAGTAAAAATCATTACGTTCATCAAATCAAAACTTCGAGATTTTCAGCGTACTCAATTACACGTTGTATATCTCCCACTAATGGCCACAGGCCTCCTCTCTTAGGCGAGAGTGGAGGAAATGGTCTGAAGCCCACGCTAGCCCAATGCGTATTGGAGACTTCACATTCATCCATAGAACATAATATCTCTTGGGCAGGGGCCCTCTTGGGTCAGGGGCCCATGGCATTTTGCCAGCCCTGCCACCATATTGTTACGCCACTACCCAGAAGGATGATCACATACGTGCCTATCAGAAAAAATTATCATGAAACAGATACAATAATGGAGTTTCTTTTATTATTCGCAGCATTTTACAATTATCTGGATAGTAATCTAATCCCTCCGATTTACTTTTTTCTTGTTTTAAAAAAACCTCTCAAATTCTCGTGTTTTTAATTAGGCAACAATTCACCAGTCTTTGAGTTTACTTTAATGTATGGATTTTAATAAGTTGTTAATAGTAAACGTTAACAAACTCTGTCGCAATAGTTTGACCCCTTATCAATTTAGATATACAAACAGACCCGCATCGGGATAGTGGGCACTAAAAGGCAAATATGGGTCACTTTGTGCTTTCGGATTCAATATTTAAAAACTGGACAACAATTTATACTGACTTTATAACTTAACAATTCTCTCTTCGTTATTATGGTAACCTTTAATTCGGCGCTATCTATTTATGATTTTAATGACTTCAAAAAACTAACTAAAGGCTCTATTATTTTTACATGTCGAGTAATTAAAATGGTATACTAATTTCATTTATTTCACAGCGAACCCGATTTTGGGAGAGAAAATTCAAATTTAAGAAGTCATAGGCATGGTTGTAGATAGAATGTAACAGCACGTAGAGGGGAATTTATAAGAATGTAATGTCTATCCACACAGCACTCCCGTATGATAGGAAGCTGTTCATAAAAAGAAATAGGGATGGTGTCGTCGGTCAGACCGTAAAGACTGACTTCGCCAGATGCAATATGCAAGCAGACTATTAATTAAATAGGAGCGGGTAGATACGCTCACCGTCTACAATCTAAAAATACGAATAAAGGACTGGTTTGTGAACATACCTTACTCAGTGTTAGAGATGATTCTAAAACCTAATATGTAGTCACACATCTTATTCATTAGCTCACTGACTCACTCACTCACTCACTCACTTACTCACTCACTTACTCATTCACTAACATGCACCCACACACTCACTCATGCACTCAGGCGTGTTGAAAACAGTTGAAAAATCAAAATCAAAAATAAATAAAATAAAAGATGTTTTTAAATTATATATTACATACATATTTTAATTTTTTTTTATCCTTTAGGTCGTCAGTAAAATTCACACATAATGGGTACAAAATATTAGTGCATCTATGTATTTCTTAGTAAAATTACAACAAGGCAAGTATATTTAAATAACACCGAGATTTTCCTCAAACTCTCCGCAAAACCGGATTATCAAGTTTTTTTAAACAAATTATTTAAAAATACCTAAACGCCAAAGCCAATACAAAAGATTTGGACATAATTGAGTAACGTTGGATATTGGTTTACTTTTCGCATGTAATTTAATTTCAGTGTTGGCGTCGTATGAATTTCGTTAGAGGGTTTTCAAACTGACTGTCAATAGCCCCAAAAATGATAATACATTTATTTTGTTTGGATTTAAATTGAATTGTCGAGTATACTATCGAGAATTTTATACGATTGATGAATATCGCTTTCATAGATGTATTGACAATACAACATTTTGGCTACGAAAAATATGTGTATTCTATACTGTATTTGCTTTGTTCACGGATATATAAATATTATACTATTGTTATAAATTGATAAGTTATTTTTACTCTACACACTTGTTCACTGTTGGAGTAGAAGGCATCTAAAATGAAAGACGAAGGATGACACATTACGTTTTATTGTGATTGGACGAGCGAAATCACGTATCAAGTGTAGTCGCTACGCGTGGTAGACAGTGATGCCAACTTGAGGGTTTTCCTCCCAAATTTAGAGGGAATCAAGATGTCCTGGAGTGTTTTAGAAGACACATTTATTTAGCGAGATTTTTAATGAGTATTTTATACAAGATTTTGTTGCAATTTATAGTAAGTCTAGAATCTAACCAACTAACTAAACCAAATATAAACTCCAAGCTTAAGTAGCTTTTAACTAAAATATCAAAAGCTATAATACTCCAAGATTGAAATTTTATACTATTTGAATGATTTTTTTATTAATATTTGAAATTCTCTTAAATCGAGTGCACGAAAAAAGATTTTTTATTGAAATTAAGGGTTTTTTGAAGTTGGTTCTAGTTCATTATGTATCAGTTGGCGTCACAGGTATTAGAGTAGAGAAACAGTCGACCAATCACTATCAAACGGAACGCGCCATCGTTTTGTGTTTTGTTTCGTTGTCCCGGTCCTTTTATAATACAAACATTGAACATCTATTATAGTCTAGAGTCTATTAATTAGAGATTTGAGAATTAAATATCCTTTAATTAAATCTAGTAACCAAGCAAACCTGAACCCGTTGTTTGGTACTGGTGTATATACTGTATACTACATATTACTTCTACAATTACATAAAGGTATAGTAAAATACTTTCATAGATTCAACTCATCTTTTAATTTCATAAAATGTATACCTTTTTCTATAATTTCGAAATCTTCTTTATTTGAGCAATCTTCTTGGCCTCTTTTACACTGTCTGGAAGAGTTACGTGATCTGTCTCCGGTATAGTAAGCGATAGTAGGCTAGCAAGTAACGCAAGACTGCCAAAGATTATAGTTGGCAAATTGTCGTTATATAGGGCCTGAAAAAGAACATTTAACATTTTATTCACGCTAAATCTCTTTTAAATATGGAATTCAATATCTTCAATTATTTATCGTATTTTAATACTGTAAAAGTGAATTGAAACCCAGATATTCCCTATAGTTTAAAATTCTTTGTCTAGACTGATTTTAATCAGATGCCAGAAAGATGCCATATTTTTTTAGCTACATTAGGTGAATTTCACTACTACAATATACAAAATGAATCATGGGTATCACAAAGTAAATTGGCTTGCGCGTACAAAAATATGTGGACCTATGTTTTATAATGAGTAAAATTTGTATTTTTTATGTATACGCCATGTATTAATCTTAAAACTTTAAGCGATTTGGGTCTTAAGCTTGATGATATTTCATTGTTAAGGTTCTTGTTCAGCGTGTATTCTACGCCCTACGGACACATTTCGATATTTAGCCTGTGTGCACTTGATTGCTGGCACTTAGGCTGCTGCCTCGAATTTTGCGGGCAGCGGGGCGGCGGCGGCTGCGGCGCGGGAGCGGGCGATTTCACCTCTCGTTACCCGCCCTCGCGCCGCTGCCACGCCGCTGTTTTCGAGAACCGGTCCATTTGATTTTACGCATAAGATCCTGCCGCTCCCGCGCCGCCGCCGCTGCCGCCCCGCTGCCCGCAAAATTCGAGGCAGCAGCCTTAGAGTGTCAAAAGACAGTTTTATTAAAATCAGATGCGTTCGCTAGAACTCTATTCTATAAAAATAAAAATTCCATAGTTCTCTTTATTGATATTTCATAGAAATTAAGGTTATTATCCTAAAAATAAAAGGTAAATTATCCTGCTGTGTCTGATCGTGTGTCACGTTGATTTTTTGCAAACATCGAGTTTTCTCGTGATGTATTCTTTTACAGTACCTACGGGTAAATATTTAGTAGGTGGCTATCGATAAAAACAAGTGTGCAATTCACACGTGGTAAAAGTGAAACCTTCAAAAATTTTAGTTTCAAGATATGAGATGAATGTAATTTTAATTTTTAAGTTTAATATCAATTAATAATTTTGATAAAAACTGTGATGAAAAAGTTTTTATGTTTAATAATATGTAAATTAGACTTTTCTTTAAATTAATTTCTAATTCCCGTTTTAAATTTTGTTGATTAATCTCATTTAATTTTACAATTGAAATAAATGATCGAATACACACTAATTTAAAGTTTATACACTGTTTCCTATCTCAATTTCTCCCTCGTTAAATCTTATGAATTTATGTGTCTGTCGCTTTTTCGTTTCATCGAAATCACAATAATGCTAAAGAAGTTTTCACTTCAAAAGTTCTGGTTGTCTCAGAGGTACTTACGAGTAATGGAGACAAAGGCGCCATTGTCGCCCCTGCTCTTCCTGTGGTGGAACATATGGCAAGAAGTGATTGTCTCGCATTCGTTGGGAAGATCTCAGAGGCCGTGACATATACGGTGCTATATGCTACTGTTATTGCGAATTTTCCTGCTAAATAGATAAATAAAGACCAAAGAGAATCACCTGAAAAATCAGAGGTAGTAGGTTAAGTGGCGAGATTTTGTTTAATTGGGGTTTTATTATTCAATACACGGGGGCTTTGATCAATAAAAAACAATAAAATATAAACTTTAAAGATTTTCATTATCATCATCACAACTTTTTAGCGGGAAAGTTCATAAAGTCTTTGATCTCCTTATTAAATTACAATTTGATTTTGGAAACCTTCATTTTCATCCATAGATTTCGGATTTCGGAAAAAGAAGATTGCTAAAAAGAGGTTTTATCATTTAAGTAATGTCACTTACGATTATGATTTAGAAAATTAGTCAGCTAATGTGTTCGCCTCTTTCGAAGGATACGAAATTTCACAATATATTATAAAGTAAATTGTTTCGTACATTGTTAGCAATTTTAAGTCTTGGTTCTTGAAGTTAAGCAAAGTTATAAGGATGCTCGCCGTAAACTAACGCTTCAAAGTGTGCGTACTTTAGAACTCTAGTATATTTAATACTGCTCAAAACAATTAGCGGAACAAGATTTTTCTCATTTCTATTGCTTAAACTAAAATTAGATTTAAATTAACTTGTACGCTATTTTTTACCTTGTTAATTTGTTAATTACTACAATTAATAAAAAAAATTCGTCCGATTGCACCTTAAACACTGCAGCAGCTCACTGAAGCGTTGATTGAAGAATGGGAGCGAATTCCACAAGAAGATAATCGGAGGATCATACGAAGCATGCCGCGTCGTTGTCAAGCCGTGATTAGGGCTCATGGAGGCCACACACGTTACTGAAAGTCACTAAAGACGAATATTCAAACGATATAAGAATATTTCTTTGATGGACCTTTTTTATCACCAATTAGTTTTTCGTCTACAATGCACATTTTAATTTTTTTTTAATAAAAAAAATACAAATTGAATTTTTTTATTAATTGTAGTAATTAACAAATTAACAAGGTAAAAAATTGCGTATAAGTTAATTTAAATCTAATTTTAGTTTAAGCAATAGAAAGGAGAAAAATCTTGTTCCGCTAATTGTTTTGAGCAGTTATAATATTAACATAACTTACGTGCTATCAACGTGAGACCAATACAGAAGATCCCTCCTAATGCATACATTGTCACCAACACCCGTTTTCTTCCATACTTAGTTAAAACTACATAGCAAAAAACATTCGCCGGTATCTCTATAAAGGCCACAAACGTATAGTTCAAGTATTTATTTCCAGCCAAAGATACAGAATTAATTGATAGGCCGTAGTACGCAAAAGAGCAGGTGATCCACAAATAACAGCACAGCACAAGTCTTAACAACATTGTTCTCGATTTCACCACCTTTGTGAAGACAGTTCCAAATTTCATTTCATTTATACTCGATTCGTCGTACTTTGCAGTTGCTTTTAATGATGCCAGTAAATGCTCTGGTATTGTTACTTTGTTCATATTTTCCGCCTTTTTTAAGATAGATAATGCTTCTTCGCATCGTCCTTTGCTGAGTAGCCAACGCGGGCTTTCGTTTAGAATAAATAGGTACGATAAAACTAAAAATGCTGGTGCGTATACGATTCTCAACATTAGTCGCCAATTCTGCAGGACCCATGCAAGTAGCGAGAGGGACATTGAACCAAGGATAAATGCAAAGTTCATCAGGGTGTTACCAAATACTCTGCCATCGGGACGCACTAGCTCCATACCTGTAAGTATTAAGGGTCCGTTCAAGTATTATGTAAGCAGATTGACTGCAATTTATCTCCCCCCTCCCCCTCCTCTTAATAATTACTGTTGACGTAATCACCAAATAAGAAAACCAACCCCTCGCCCCTATAGTGCTTACGTAATACTTAAAAGATATTCTAAATACATAGTAAGTTCGTGAAAGCGCACCAAATACAAAAGCTGTGCTATACGTCGCTGCTCCTGTTGCGGTTTCCAAAAACTCAAAAATGATCAGCATTTCGTAACTAGTTGAGAAAGATCGTAGAGTTCCAAATATAGCATACATAGCAGAAGCAACGGCCATGGATTTTACTCTTCCATATTTATCAGAAAGTACTCCGGTTAGTGGTAAGGCTATAAGAAATCCTGCGCAGTACATTGTACCTATTAGTGTCCTCTTCCAATCTTGACAGCCGAGGTTGAACTGGAATGAGAAATAACAACCAATTATGGTTCTAATACTTTAAAAAGCTAAGTTGTTTAATAGATCACCAACTTCTATTTAGGACTATGCAGCCAGAGTATTATTTGAAGTAAGATTTGGAGTTGAAACTTAGCGCACAAAAATACTTCCATATATAAAATCCAATACGTTATTAACGTACTAGACTCATTTAGCGCGAACGTCAAGATAAGACTCCCTAAACAGCCGTTCTGTCTTCTCGACTGTGAATCATACCATAAGTGTAATGTTTATGCAATTCTTAAACCTGAGGTCGTTCTGACTGATGTGGACCAATGTTTTATTTATATGTGTACAAATGTTGAAAGGCCGGCAACGCACTTGCGAGCCTTCTGGCATTGTGAGTGTCCATAGGCGGCGGTATCACTTAACATCAGGTGAGCCTCCTGCCGAAATATATCAGACCCAAAAATTTTACTATTATAGAAAGTTGGTCACCTACTTGCCCAATATTACAAAAGACGCAGAAATAAGTGGCAGTGCCCAATTCCGATATTCCGAAATTTTAAAAGTATTATTTGAGGATTCAAAAAAACCAAAGTAACCTTACATTTCAATCTTTTATATGAAGAGAAAATAACAAATATTTTTTGTGCTCGGTAGGATGTTTCAAGTAAAAACGATAACAAATCTCGTGGAAAACTTACATCTTTGACTACTGAATCTTCATTGCTGTAGACATATTCTTTACATTTGAAAATTGAGGATCGATTAAAGGACAATTGATCGCATGTGTTACTTTCATTAAAATAATCATATCTTCTGCATTTGTCAAACTTGTTATTCTGTTTGGGTATAGCATATTCTATCCAAGTTGAATTTTCATATTCACATTCGGGTATTGCACATCTGAAAATATTCGATCATGTTTTGAAAGTATTGAGTTCATTTGTTTAATAATAGCTACATTTATTTAAATGAGCAGTGTTGGCCTAGTGGCTTCAGCGTTCGACTCTCATCTCTGAGTTCGTAGGTTTGAACCCCGGCTGTGCACCAATAGACTTTCTGTCTATGTGCGCATTTAACATTCGCTCGAACGGTGCAGGAAAACATCGAGAGGAAACCGGATTGCCTTAGATCCAAAAAGTCGATGGCGTGTCATGCACCGGAGGCTGATCACCTACTTTATTATATTGACAAATGATCATAAAACAGATACCGACATCTGAGGCCCAGACCTAAAAAGGTTGTAGCGTCACTGATTTATTTTTAATTTTGTTTTAAACAATTTTAAACTCCACTTTATCTTTCAAACAATTAAATATTAGGTCCTTACATATGAAATTGGCGTTTTGTATGGGAGGAACAAAAAGTCGAATATTTTTAAATATAATTTATTAAATTAATCAAAGTATGAACCATTGTTTTCTATGCACTTTTGCCATCTCACAGGTAGTTCATTGATCCCTTTACTAAAAAAAACAGTCGGACGGGAATCAATAAAATCTGTGAAGGCGATTTGGACTGCCCCATCAGAGTTAAATTTTTCCCTTGCAAGAAGTTGTCCAAATTTCGATAAAAATGGTTATCTGTTGGAGCAAGGTCCGGGGAGTAAGAAGGATGTCTTAGACATTCCAATTGAAGCTCTTCTAATTTGGTAGCCGTCTGTTGTGCAGTGTGTGGTCTAGCGTTGTCGTGAAGTAGCAGTGGCGTGGAGCGATTGACCAGCCTAGGTTGTTTAGCCGCTAGCTTTTCCATCATGGTTTGCAATTGCTGACAATAGACATCAGCCGTAATAGTCTGGCCAGATTTGAGAAAACTGCAATGAACAATACCGGCACTAGTCCACCAAACGCTTACAAGTAACTTTTTTGGGGTTAATTTTCGCTTGGGGCAGGATTTGGCTGGCTGGCCAGGATCCAACTATTGCGCTGAGCGCTTTCGATTATCGTAAAGAATGCATTTTTCATCACAGGTAATGAATGATTCGGTTTAAAATACCTTCATTATTGTGCCGGTTCAGTAATGTAACGCAGCAGTCGACGCGCGTTTGCCGGTTTGCTTCAGTCAATTCGTGAGGTACCCATCTTTCAAGCTTTTTAATCTTCCCAATTTGGTTCAAGTGAATTAAAACAGTTTTATCACTAACACCGCAACCTGCAGCTAACTCGGACGTGGTTTGCAATGGATCCGCTTCCACAATAGCCTTCAATACTTCATTATCAACTTGGGTCTCAGGCCGTCCACGGGGCTTGTTCTGCAGGTCGAAATTTCCAGAACGAAAACGTTGGAACCAAAAACGAACTGTGTTTTCTTTTGCAACATGACCGCCATACACATCATTCACCCTTCGAGTCGTTCCGCAGCACTAGTGCCACGCCGGAACTCGTACTCGTAAATAATGCGATACTTTAAGTTTTCCAGGTTATAAAATGAGTGACGCAAACAGCAAACAACAGAAGAAAAAAACAAATGAATGACGGTCATCGAAGCACAAATACATGAGTAAATAGCTGTACAAATTTGAATTTGGAATTCTTTACCAAAGAGGAGAACATCGTGATTAAAGTGGCCAGTACGAAATACGCCAATTTCATATGTAAGGACCTAATATATAGCTAAAAAGATAGTGAGTCCTATAGTAGTCAACACATATTTATATGAATGTATTTACCGTGCAAGATGCGTCATCGTAGTAAATAAATATTAAATATTACCTGTAGTTAATATCCATAGCCTCAAAGTTAAACACAGATCCATATATACCAGCCAAGTAACATGGAAATAACAGGAAGGCATAATTCACAACAGTGTATTTTCCGAAAGGCCCTAAAATCCTCCAGACCTCATCTAAATTAGATCCGGCTCCTTCTGCCATTTATTCAAACCTCGGATGTCCTTGCTATATTTGATTTATATTTTTGCACCTTATATGATACTAGCAGAAAGCAAGAACCTTAACTTTAATAACTAAAAACTCAGTAACACTTTTTCCTGTTTCACAGTCGTTTTTTGTAAAATTACCTCTAAGAACAATTATTTAAATTAAACTTACTACCTGCGCGAATAGACTTATTTCAATAACCTTAGATAAGCTACAAGATCAAGTAGTAAGAAGTCTTTGTTCAAACAAGATAAAATAATAACTACTTAGTTGCTAGGTCTTAACAAGATCACAGATAACGATATACTACTTGTTACTTATCTCTATCAGTTGCTTTTGTCTTAAATTCAATAATACGAAAATCCCGTTTCCACAATGTTATAGATATCTATAGACAAACAACTGTGTCAATATATAGTCTTCTGTCTTATTGTTTAGTTTAAGCCTTTTTAAATGTTATTATCATAAGGTAAATCAGTAATACATACTAATATGTATATAAACTAAACAAACCTTAAGAGGCTTGCCCCGGTGGAATGGGTAGATGAATGGGGATGAAGATCATTCATCACTACCTCAGTAACGAGCTTGATATATTCTGTAGTGGGATGATTAATTTAAAAAAACCTTCACAAGCGCATTGTTAAGCGAATAAGTATTTTTAAATGGAAAGTTTATTTTATTTATTTATTTATTCACACTTCGTTGCAATAAAAAAACATAAATAACACAATACATAAAAATTACAAGGGATGCAACGGGCGGCCTTATCGCTAATAAGCGATCTCTTCCAGGCAACCCTAGTAAGAGAAAAACTAAAAAAGAAACATGATGAGTGCAAGAAGTGCAGAACCAAATGTTATATAAAAAAATATGTAACCTTAATCTGAAGTAATACAAAAAAAAAGTTACTTGTAAAAACTAAACTTTTTCTTTTTTGTAAACATTATGTTCACTGGTAATTTTCATGTATTTTAAAATAGATAGATACTTATAATATAGTAAATGCATTAAGTATGTGGTTTACTTAAATGAATAAAGAAATAAGTACCCTTCTCAATGAGGTTGTGTGTGATGCAGACTGCAGTCAAGGAAATGTTCACTCTGAGAGATTGCCAGGTGAGATTTTGGTTCTGTATTTTAACAGCCTTATAGCTTTGTAAACAAAAACAAGTCAAAGTCACTTGACTGGGTGAATCTTAAGTGGCTAAATAAGTCATGGAAATTGACAGAATTTCTTTTAAATAAATATATTATTGTTAACATAATTTATACAAGTTCGTAATAAAATGATAATAAATCAACATCTTAAAAGATTTTAACTTAATCGTTGATCTTATGAGAAACTTTTGGCTTCCTCCAAGTTGTCTGGTAAGGTTTTGTTAATCGTTTCTGGTAAAGTTAACGCCAACATGCTGGCTAATAGCGCAACACAAGCGAAAAATATTGTAGGCAAATTTACATAGTACAGCGCCTGAAAAAAATTAAACAATATATGTTGCATATAGTACAGTGCCTGAAAAAAACGACGGATTGCACTCCGGGAGTGCCGGCAGAAGTGAAAACTTGAATATTAACGTTGTGCATTTTTGATATTTTGGAATGGTTAGGGAATAATTTTGCACGAATTGCTTTAATTATCAGTATAAAAGTTATTTATGTGGTAGAATACAATATTTTTTTTATTGCACTATCGTACACAAACATGACAATTTATATTACGCCGCGCCAGCTGTCTACTCTCCATTCGTCTTACGAAACCTACACAATAATTCAATTTTTTAAGTTGCCATTTTTTATTCGCGTCAGTCTGACCAAATCGTTAATAAAAAAGCTTTAGACGTTTCGCAAAACTATACCTTGATGTATTGACTTAAGGTCCAATTCCACATGCATCAATGTATCTGAGGAAAGAGGTAAATGAATTAAAACCGTAACTATATAGCACGAAGGTTCATAATCCTTTAAAAAAACATCCGTCTTACGAATTTGTCCTGACGCGAGTTTAACATTTTTTACCCATTCCAAAAAGTGTACAACGCCGCTAAAGAAGTTTTCACTTCAAAAATTAAACAATATATGTTGCATTTGGTAAAATTTTAACTCAATTATTAAGGAAACGTTAAATATAAAGCATGTAAATAAATAATTACTGCCGACAATTAAATTTGTCTTATACGCGTGTGTTCTCTCAGATTTATTCAAGCGGGATAAACTTATTAGAGTAAACCATCCAAACTAGTTGTTTCAAGGCTTATGTAATAATTAAGGATCTCAAAAGCTATTTTCTATTACGATAAACCAGTAGATTTTTTTATAAATCCTCCAAAATAGACTTAAAAGTATTAATAACAGTATTTCTTTGTCTGGTTTTATGTCAAAAAATCTTTAGGATTTCCTTTCGAAATCAATCTAATTACATAAGTATGGGACCAATTTGATACAATGAGCCATGTATCCATCGTAGTAAGTCTTCTCGAAGTAATTTATATGCGGCAAACTATTTTATTGAAATAATAGCACTAATTTTGAATATACTTTACGCAAATTTAATATGAGCCACATGTATTGTGCAATATAAAATGCATTTATTAATAGCTTGTCACGCAGGACAATATGAGGAAAATGGCATGTCAATGGATAAACAACGCAACAAATGAAAACAATATAATCATTCAATGTATTGTTAAATTGCTCGTCTAGACTGGGTATTTATATTTGAAAAGGCGATTTTGCATTTAAATATTTTGATAATTTTAGTAACATATTTGTTATACATATAAAAGCTAGTCGAATCTAAAAACAGTGATTATTGAATACGAATAGAATAAAAATCATGGAGAAACCTTTGTCTCATGGAGTTTTTGTAAGCGAAACTAATTATCAAATTATTCCCACTATTGAATTCTCTAATTTAGGTAATAATTACTTGATTTGACTAGATCCATTTTTACACTCAGATTAGGATCGAGATTTATCGCTAAGTAATTTTTTTCTATACAACAGTGGGCAAATGGGCACGAGGCTCACCTGATATTAAGTAATACCGCCGCGCATAGACATTCTTACTTGCAGAGGGCTCGCGAGTATGTTGCCTGCTTCTTAAGAATTGGAACGCTCTTTTCTTGAAGGACTCTAAGTCGAAATCAAATCAAATCATTTATTCATATAGGTAACACAATGTACACTTATGAACGTCAAAAAAGAAATATATATTAAATGCTTCTAATTTTACATTAAATTGGTTCGAAAATACTTTAGATTACAAATCTCAAACCGCCTCATGCCCCATGAGGCGGTTTGGTTTGGCGGATAACCTTACCTAACCTCACCTAACTTAACAAAAAATACTATTTTGAGACTAGTATATTTAGATATAGTAATAAAAATACTGTTTTTAGTTTTTTTGTTACTGTCGTAATTTATAAATATGACATGAATTTAGGAACTGCCGGCAAGCCGTTTATGGCGTATTAAATCAATCAATTGAAAACGTGGTAATAAAAAAACCAACCACATCTGGGTTTTAGGGTTGTGATTACCGTTATTATATTGAATATTATGCTTTTTATTTTAAAAACTTACTAATAAGGGTGTCTGTGGTGCTAAAGTAGACCCAATACGGCCCGTAGTTGCACAAAACGCCAACAGGGACTGTCTAGCATTAGTAGGAAATACTTCAGAAACTGTAACGTACACCGTACTATATGCTATGGTAATAGAAAACTTGCCACATAAATAAAGGACCAGGCGCCATATTGATAGATCTGAAAAGAAATTTGTAAGTTTTTATAAGATATTTTTTTTAAATTATTATCTATAGTTTCTTGGATTCAAATGTAATATTCAAACTGTGAACAAAAGTACTTAAGATCTCAAACACGCTGATTTATTAATATTATTGAAATTTATATTACATTCATAAATACACTCACCTTCAGGAATAAATGATAAACTCATACAAAATATTGCGCTCAACATGTATACTGTTACTAAAACCTTTTTCCTCCCAAACTTATCCAGAATCATGAAACATACAAAATTGGCCGGTATTTCTACAAAGGCCACGATCGAAAAGTTCAAATATTTATTTCCCGCCAAAAACACAGAATTAATTGACAGACCATAGTATGTAAACGAGCAGGTCATCCACAGATAACAACATAATAATACTCTAAAAGCAATTATTTTCGATCCTAACATTTTCCGGAGAACAGATAAAAAACTTTCGTGCGCCTCTATTTCTTTCTGGTTAGTTCCAGCTTTCAAAGATGTCAACACCTCTTCCCGTATTTTAACGTTGTTCATTGTTTCTGCCTTCTTAATAACTGTAAGGGCTTCCTCATACCGACCCTTGGAAAGCAACCATCGAGGATTCTCGTTAAGCACAAATAAGTAGGTGATAATAAAAATAGCTGGTGTGTATATGGTTCTAAGGAGATACCTCCAGTTCTGAAGATACCACGCCAAAAGTGAGAGAGTCATAGTCCCGCTTATATATGCAAAGTTTATTAAAGTGTTGCCGAAGACTCTACCCTTTGGTTGCACAAGTTCCATGCCTGAAATACCAGAAATATTAGTAAATGTGCTTTGAAGAAAAGCTCAATCCGGTATAAATCGTTAATTAATGCCAGATATGTAATATAGGCACAAGTATTTCGGTATTATCGTCATTTCTACGATAGCACGAACGAATTATACATATATTAATATAAACTTATATTTAGTTTCATACGCCCACAGAGCGCTGCTCAAGTTTTTCGCTCAATGTCAGTTCCAAATCTTGAAATTATTTAACATCTAGGATCATTTATAAAGATACAACAGAATTTACTTTGCTAAAATAGTGCGTAATATCACGTTATTCCCAATAGGGCAAGGTGCGAAAATATTTATGCATCTGTTTCAGTAATAAATTATGTGTGCTCTTATGTGAGTTAAAAATAGTTTGCCGATATCTCCGATTTCACAGGTGAAAAATATGGCGAGCAAAATTATCTGTATGATTTGCTCGTGTGGCAGACGGTATTTAGCGATTATTATACGATAAGGAATATTAAGAACCCCATCATGGTAGTGCAGTTCGCAGGTCAATAAAAATTTCAAAACAAAAGAAATTAGACATACTACGAATAATCGTATTAATTAGCCATAATACTTTTCCTCAGATTCGCGGACTTCAACGAACTGTAATGGTTAAAGTCAAGTAAAATGGGTACATTTTTGAAGTTATACTTCTTTAGGCGCGTTATGAAAACTGTATGAGAGTGAAATTTTACGCACCGTTACACAAAATTAACAGTATGGGCGCCGAGCGTGCGCGAGCTAGATGGGAATAAGACAATCTACAAGTAAAAAGAAATATAATATGTGTGACGTTAGCAGCTATGCCAAGAATTTTGAATGACCATAATGACATTTGTAGTACCTTTTAAACAAATAAAGAAGTTTTAATTATTTTTTCAAAGACATTTATCAATGCTTTTTCACAAAGACCTATTGTTACTTAGTTAAAAGGTTATGAAACCTACCTAGTTATTAAATTGAATTAATAATATAATAAAATAATAAATAATAATTATTATTAATATTAATTAATAATTGAATAATATACTAAATATTAAATATTGTTAAATTATTAACGCTAAATATTTATTATTAATTATTTAATATTTAAAAAAAATAAAGAAAGCCAAAGAAGTATAACTTCTTACGCGCGTACATAAGTACACGCACCATTTTTTTTTTTGTATTACGGGGGTTCTAATAAATCGAATGGACTCAATTACTTCCTTATACGTCTTCCTTATTACAATATATATTTTCTTAGTTATCTAAATGACCATTTACCCCCGAGGAAGACCCGAGCAAATGATTAGGTATCGATTTTTTTTACAGATTTAAACCTCTGTAGCCGAAAAACGCAGCAATGTACGACCTTAACACGTTCACTGCGCCATCATTTTAAAGAACTTATGGTTGGAGGCCTAAAAGATCTCGTAACAAGCCTATCCTCGGTGCGTTAGAGACCTAATCAGTCTCCTAAAAATACACTTTTGAAAATAATTTATATCTTCCAAAAAAACAATGACATATATTTTGAATTTTTTGGGTGAAAGATAGCTAATTCTTTATATTTTGCTAGGTTCGAGCAGTTACGACATTTGAATAAACTACAAATACCAAAAAAAAGATATCATTTATCTCTACGACCCGAAGATATTAATATTGTATAATATATGGGAATAAAATAATATCTCATTATCATTCTAAAATTTTATTAATTATGAAAGTTTTTCATTAAAACATGTAAAATTATTTGACATTACCCAAATGTAACAATTGTTATTTTTAGAAGTCAGTTTTTAATTAAAAAAAGGTTTATCTTAAATATTTATAATAAATCATTCAAATAATGGGAAATTTAACATTTTCCAAAAAATATTACTACAATAAGTAAAATTTTAAAACCTCACCAATAAAATGGATTTTTAATTTTTCTTTTAAACTTAATCTCTCATTTTTATCAAAAAAAAATCAACACTTATATAAAATATTAATCGATTCTAGACAACACTAAAAATCCCATCCTCCATCTTTTTATACGATTTAAGTACCACATATTCTAACAAGGAATAAAAAATAATAGAGGACCTAATCATTTAATTTATTTTTAAATTTAATTCATAAAGGAAAAATATTATATTTATTAAACTTTAAATAATTAATAAAAAAATAAATTGTTAAAGAAAATTTTTTCATATTGGTCCGAACTTTAATTCCTATCATAACTAAATACGAGCAAATTTTATACTTAAATGCTCGCCAGCTCCCTAGTTATAGTCCTTAGAAATAATACAATGTTAAATTTGGCCAAGAGTTCCAACAGCCGAAGGATCGCAAGGAATCACAATACAATTTAAATATAATCTTATTCTGTGTTTGTCTGTAAAATTGTAAAATAAATCAGTGGCGCAACAACCTTTTCCGGTCTGGGGCTCAGATTTTTGTATCTATTTCATGATAATTTGTATGATCATGTAAGTATGTGATCAGCGTACTTGTGCCTGACATACGCCGGCGACTTTTTGGGTGTAAGAAGTCAAGCCGGTTTCCTCAAGATATTTTTCTTCTATTCGAGCGAATGTTAATGCGCACGTAGAAAGAAAGTCCATTGGTGCACAGCCGGGGATCAAACCTACGACCTCAGGGATGAGAGTCGCACGCTGAAGCCACTAGGCTAACGCTGCTGTGTACTCGTAGTAAAATGTAAAGACTGTCTGTCTTGGACCGAAAAAATGTGTCAACACAGAACTTGACTAATAATAAAAAATCATCAATAACAGATACAATAAAATCAAATCTTAACTGATTAACATTATAAAAGTATTCAAACAGAGACCTAAAGTTAGTATCTCACTTTTACCTAATACAAAAGCAGCGTTATATGCGCCAGCGCCGAAAGCAGTCTCCAAAAATTCAGTAGCGATTAACATTTCGTAGTTGATTGAGAACGATCTGATTAAACCAAAAACTCCTGAGGAAAATGACGCCACAGCTAGTGCTTTGATCCTTCCATATTTGTCGGAAAGAATACCAGTTGTAGTTAGAGATATGAAAAAGCCGGCTCCATACATAGTTCCTATGAGTGTCCTCTTCCAATTCTGGCAACCCAGGTCAAACTATGAAGAAAAGTATAAATTTATTAGTATTCGTTTGCGACCTTAACCATTGTCGGTTATTTACATAAAACCATAATAAATTATGGACTATACCCTTCAGGAATTACACTATCTATTGGTGGAAACTGTGCATAAATGCATTCGGTTGTTTTTGAGTTTATTGCGTTTATACACACAACGGTAGGTAGTTTTATAATATACGGATGTTAGCCTTTAAAAAAATATTGATTATATTATATAAATGGCCTGGCCAAATCCATGGATGACGGCTCTAACATACATATTAATCGGTAAGGCCAAAGCTATTGACGGGCCTAGTCCAAAAGACAAATTCTTAATATATTTAGTACCTATACCTTTACAAAATATTAATCGTTATACATAAAAAATATATAAGTCTTATTGCATCGTTTACCAAAACCACTGTCTCTTTTTATAACAGCTTAAATATAATTTAGCAGAAAGAGACGGAAGAGTATTTTAGATAAAAGTTCATTACACTGAATTAATTTTTATGAATCGGTCTTTGCTTGTCGAATTGCTCTACTAAGGAAGAAAATCTCTAAGGACCTGTTTTGACTAGCGCAAGAAACTCGGCAATTCAAGTTGTTAACGGCCAATGTTTAGTAGTAGTGGCACCATTATTACTCGTGTTGTCTGATATCTCATTAATCAAAAAAATAATATATATAATTAGTGTATATTAGTTTTTTTTAATACAACGGGGGGCAAACGGGCAGGAGGCTCACCTGATGTTAAGTGATACCGCCGCCCATGGACACTCAATGCCAGAGGACTCGCGAGTGCGTTGGCGGCCTTTTAAGGATTGGTACGCTCTTTTCTTGAACGGTCAGTTGTGGAACGGCGGACGTCGAGGTGAAATTTCGTATTCTGCCTCGACGTCCGATGATGAAACTTAACTGCAGGTATTAATCCGAACAACTCCTCCGAACACTCTCTATGGTAAATGCAGTCGTAGTGTATATTAGTGTATATTAGTGTGTATTAGTGTGTATTAGTGTGTATTAGTGTATATTAGTGTAGTAGAACAGGGAATTTTAATATTAACTTACGTCCTTCACCACGGAATCCACCCCATTATACACATAGGAATCGCAGCCTACAATCTCCCCACTAAAACCTTTTATGTCGCATTGATCCGTTTCATTCAAAAACCGATATCGGTTACATTTTGATAACTTATTATTTTCTTTTGGTATGGCATACTCCAACCATAACGTTTCATTTATTCCCTCGCATTGAGGAACTTTGCATCTGCAAAGAATAAGGACACAGATGCTAATAAAACTATTAAAAAAAGGGTGCGTGTACTTATGTACGCGCGTAAGAAGTTATACTTCTTTGGCTTTCTTTATTTTTTTTAAATATTAAATAAATAATAATAAATATTTAACGTTAATAAATTAATAATATTTAATTATTAGTATATTATTCAATAATCAATTAATATTAATAATTATTATTATTTATTATTTTATTATATTATTCATTCAATTTAATAACTAGGTATGGTTCATAACCTTTTAACTAAGTAACAATAGGTCTTTGTGAAAAAGCATTGCTCAATTTCTTTGACAAAATAATTAAAACTCCTTTATTTGTTTAAAAAGTAAATGACAAATGTCATTATGCGATGACTGAAATCATTCAAAATTTGCGATCTTCGAACTTCACGCATATTCTTTTTCTCTTTACTTGTAGATTGTCTTATTCCTATCTCGCTCGCGCACGCTATAATCACACTCCCAATTTTGTGTCACAGGTGCGCGCGCATCGTAAAATTTCACTCTCATAAATTTTTCATAACGCGCCTAAAGAAGTATAACTTCAAAAATATATTCCTTGTACATAGTAGGTAACGGTCCTATCTACTGGCCTAACTGTTATTCACAGATGCATTGCTTTTATTAAAAGGCCAGCGTCACACATCGGTCTCAAAAATTTCTGAAAGCCTCTAGTTATATACGTATAACATTAGTTACGTTACATATATTTATTTTAGTTAGTAATTAGAAGCGCAAACTAAATGTTAGCAATCATCGCACACTTGAAGCCAAAATGACCCTTTAGCTTTTCCCACACTTATACATCTATCTAATATATATAATTCTTGTGTCGCGGTGTTTGTGGTTAAACTCCTCCGAAACGGCTTGACCGATTCTCATGAAATTTTGTGTACATATTGGGTATAACCGAGAATCGGACAACATCTATTTTTCATCCCCCTAAATGTTAAGGGTACTCAACCCCTAATTTTTTATGAAACAGCATTAAAAAATACATACAACCCCTAATTTTCACCCCTCTACGATCAACCCCTATTTTATAAATGATATACATGGCAAAACGACGTTTGCCGGATCAGCTAGTTTTAATATAGAGGTTGTCGTCTATTCATAGAACCATAGTCCAATCCTAGAACTATTGCAAACTTCTTTACTCTAACAAAGGTTTACGACCGACAGTTGTAATTTCGCACTACATTTATATTTTAATTAATAATTACTCAATTTTATAATCTTATAACTTTGCAAATACGTATACTGCGGTTGATTCACCCTACCCGCCATTCCGTTGAGTCCTCTTCCACCAGAGATAGAGAAGAAATTACATATTTAATTATATCTACTCTACACTCCGTACGACCAACAAGAACTAATAGAACAGAATTAATTAAATTTTTAAAAATTATTAAAAATTCCAAAATTAATTAAATAATATGACGTAACAATCAAGCGTAAAACTTTAAAAGTTTACTTGAAGTTTTGGTGTAGCCCTGGCTGAAAATAAACACCTGTTATTTATTTTCATTTAAAATTAAGTAAATATTGTTACGTATATATTTTAAAAAACGTATGCAGTGTTATCGCTGTAATAAAGAGTTATGCAGTTTATCTCTAATCATATTATAAAACTGAAGAGTTTGTTTGAGCTTATCTCTGAAACTGCAGTACTTTATCGTGTCTAGAGGAGAAGAGAGGAGCAGAGAATCAATGAAAAAATGTTGCAAAAACGAAATTGTTTTCCTAATATTTAAAGAAGATCATAAACCGTATATGTATATATATATATCTTTTACCGAAATATCATAGTTTTAAAATAACCCAACAACAAAATATAAAGTACAACGCGCGCATAGGCAAGTCTTAAAATAACGCGCAAAATCGCGGGTAACACTAAATTTAACATAAAATAGAATTTTTAAACGGCATTTTTCAACAACTGCTAAATTTTTAATCTATATAAATTCATTCATGTATATATTTATGTCTAATATAATTTAATTTATTTTATAATATTATTTTAATTTAATTTTCGGTTACAGCTATCTCATTTATAAAATTGTACCTAACATACCTGTAATTAATATCCATAGCTTCAAAATTGTAAACCGATCCATACATTCCATATAAATAACATGGCACTAAAAGTAGGGCATAGTGTATACGCGTATATCTACCAAAGCTTCCCAACTGAGCCCAAACTTCATCCACAGCTGAGCCAACTTCCTTCATTTTCGCTTTATTTTAAACACTTGTCTTATTGTCTACTCCACTGTTTTACGGCTATCAGATAACTTACACTCATCGAGCTACAGATAAATGTAAATGCCACGAGACGCAAGACGCTACTACAAAAAATACTGCGAATTACGAAGCAGTTAGGTAGGTTTCGACGAAAAAACAAGTAAGACAGTTGTTTGTAAATATGGAAGCTACACGAGGTAATATTTATTATTTAATCTAAATATTAGGTCATTGCAATTGTGATAAAGTAAAATGAATTTAATTATAACTTACAATAATAAAATGTTTTAGCGCCATCTATCGGAGTATAGTCGCACTACACAAAAAGCCGATAGATTGTCAATGTAAAATTTTGCTCTTCACAACAGAAATCACACACCGTTGCGTTAGGATGATCTAGATTCTAGGCGGTATAATTTCAAAATGTCGATGGCGGTGAAAATTGTGGAAAAGTTCGGAGTACGCTAACGAACCTCTTTGTTCACCTTGCGAAGGCTTAACCATTATTCTAGGCTTTGCTGACCAGCCAGATACGTTTCCGTTGTGTTTTTTAGGCGATGAAACTCGTAGGTTAGTTTTGACTTAGTTAACGCGCTCTATAACATTTGCTATGTGTTAGATATGGCAAAGGCATATTGTATAATTTTCCTGGTTTAAACTTAATAAGAATTAATTAATAGTAGTTCATTGTTTTGCGTAATAATAATTCACAGGCTTCTTAGGTACTTTTATAATATATTCTCCTTGTCTCTGGTTTAAAAGTACGTCATGTTTGTTTATCTTTTAAATCAATTTAGAATAAATGGACTGTAGTGATTTTCTTTATCCCTAAGAATGAAAAAATTTTACTTATGTTAATTTTTAAACACGTTTTACTCATTTATTGAGTCTATAAATATTTTCTTTAATAATGTTATAACATTGATCGCAACCACAGAACAAATTCTAATTAAAACTAATCATGTTTAGACCAAGATCTAGGCTAAGTTCAGCGCCAAAAGTGACGCTCGTATGTCAAAAACGTATTAAATTTGGACATGTTTGATTTTGACATTTGATTACATTCACATACAACGGAAGATATACAAATATACAGGATCCGTTGTAGAACGCATAAAATTAAGTTAAATATATGTATACCAGACTAGTATCTATAATCGCTGAGTCAATCGATGTCCTGTTAAATACTCGTCCGCTAACACTGATAGGATTTCAGAGAAATCTGCTACTTCAAAACTCCTACTACGGTAATTATTCGATAAGGCAAAATAAATAAGGAATTTAAATATTGTAATACATTAAGTTCAGTCTTATTTTATTAATGAAGCATTTAACACGTCAATTGACATAATCTATTAAAAAGAAATGGCTATGTTACTGGTATAAATAGTAAGGTTGTTACCAAAGTGGTAAACGTCAATATTTCCGAACCTTGTTGTTTAGTTTTCAAACCTTTAAAAAATCTTAAATCCTTAAACCTTTACTGGAAAAATGGAAAAATAGGAACTGTCCGCAAACCTTGGGTCAAGAATAAAATAAAACAATTAATTGATTTATTGTTAGCATTTAAAATGTGAAATTATTTCAATGTAATACGAACTCGACATAAATGAACTCGTGGTAGCGTTGAACAAACTTTGTAACTCGATCAAACTTGCCCTACCAAATGTACCAGAAACCTTTGAGGGCTTAATCGAAGATTGTGTCCGTCATGTTAACGACGGATTAAAGAAGCGATTAGTGGTTACAATCGATAAGATAGATCTTATACCAACAAACTTTTTGGAATTAATTTGATATGTTACATGAGGTGTAAAAGTGAAAATGTGCCTAATTTCTTAATAGTCCATTTTTCTTAGTAGATATCTAATAAAATTAAATGTTTGTCTTTTTATACTTTTAAGGAGTTGTAACATTGAGGACAATTCTTTGGTTGATTATAGGTACAAGGGCTTGAGACAATGTCACTTTTGACAGGCGTGACGCACTAACGCCAAATGAGTTTGTGTGAAAATGATCACGTGACCCATCAAAATCCTACCCTTACAAATTCGTATGCGTTATTGGGTCACGACTGTCGAAAAGTGATTTTGCCTCAATACCCAGGAACCTTAGAAACGGATACAGATTATATTATTGTTTACATATTTATAAAGTATGATTATTATGATTGATATTTGTTGATGTTTATCTTAGGTACCCAGCCTAGAATTGTCCACCCGGACTCTCTATGAAGCCTATAAATATCATCTAATTAAAAAAAATATTAAAATGAGTTTATCACAGTTTCGATTTCACATTATTAATATTATTGCAATTTTTGAAGTGAAACTTCTTTAGGCGCACGAGGGTAATATTTTTTCGGAACGTCACGAAGATGTGCAGCGTTTTTGTCGAAGAAAAGGGAGAGAGCGATAGAGACCGGTTGAGAGAGAGTGCGAAGGGTGAATTACCTTATAGAAATTATATTTTTAAAATTAAAATTTCGTAAAGAGAATTTATGAAATATGTATTAGTATTTTATATTTTATGCAAAATAATTTATTGAAATCTCAAATATGAATTGTAAATTAAAATGTCATGTGTTTTTATTATCAAAGAAATAAATTTAAAAAATTAAATTTATTATTTGTATTATTTTCGACACTTTTAACATTTTAATGACAATTAAATTAATTAAATTCCTAACATATCTTCCTTTTCCTTTTTCCTCCCTCTAAGTCTCGGAAATCTAAAGATTTAGATTTGTATAAATATGAACAAGAGTTAAAAATTCGTTTGCCAAAGAAGTTTCACTTCTGACTATATATTTATTTCTTAAATAAAAGTGAGAAAAAAAGTGTTCTGAAATAAAAGTGAGATCGATATCCGCGAATCATGACGAGTTAGTAATAATGTAATAAATTCGCATTTATATTCGTTTTATGTAAGCTGATAATAATTAAAATCTGTGACAATAAAACATAAAATAGTTGCAACCTGGCGCCATCAATAACAGAGTTATTTCAACAAGCTATTGCTAATAGCGCCATCTGTGGTGTTCCACGAAAACATTCAAGCTTCCAAAATGTGTTTCATACTTTGCTATGTCCAACTTTCGCTATAGGTCTGTAGGACTTGTACTGAATGCAAACGGCATTAAATATAATTCACAGCAAAACAAAAGAAACATATATTATATTGCTTCCAACGGCATACTAAGACAATAAGTTTACTTTGTGTTACAAATATTAATACATTGATCGAATGAAGGCAGTGTTTTATATCCCTTGACTTTCTTTCAAATATAAATAAAAGTAAATTGCAAAATATGTTGGTGGAACGAAATTCGCGAGGGTAATTAGATTTGAATAAAATACTTAATTATCGGAATCTCATTTTAGATATCGAACGAACACAAATAAAACATACTTTTTCAGAAATGAAGTACGCTACTGGCCAATTAAGTAACTCTGCGCAAGACGCATCATTATTTTTTATCCCCTTGCGATGCCGTTTACAAATAAATGGTGTTTGATTTTATGAACCCCACTTGTTACGATGCTTGTTACTGGTTTGTATTTTATTTCAGATTTTATTTCTATTGTATGCAGGAAGTATTAATATATACAGGGTGTCCCACAAGTCGACGTCAAGTCGAAATTTTCTCATAGGTAATGCCACACCAGTTATCAGAAAAATTAAAAAAAAAATTAAGTTATGTATTTTTGAAGTTATGGAAATTTTCCTTTTATTCCAGAAAATGTACACCATGTGACAGTTTTTTCATTCCTGTTGTTACAAATATTTAATTTTTGCCAATTTTTTTTCTCTTACGTCATCCCGAATAGTGCTTTATGTAACCTATGATCCTAAACCCTGTGCCGATCACTCCAACTTGTAGGAAAATATCATTTTATACCGTACCAAGTTTTCAAAATTAATTTTTCGCACTAGTTCAACTGATCGTCCTGAAAAAAAAATGTACTACTCCAGTTTTTTCTCTTACGTCATCCCGAATAGTGCTTTATGTAACCTATGATCCTAAACCCTGTGCCGATCACTCCAACTTGTAGGAAAATGTCATTTTATACCGTACCAAGTTTTCAAAATTAATTTTTCGCACTAGTTCAACTGATCGTCCTGAAAAAAAAATGTACTACTCCAGTTTGGCAAGCAGCTTTAAAAGTTCGCGCATTTAATAAGGATTCTAACGTGGTATAATACTTACTTCATTATTTCTTAGATCGGCCATAAAAAAATTTTTTTGTTAAACAAAGTCTGTTTTTAACAATCTCTTTGAAATTACAACAAATGATTCTAGCGCACCCAAAACGTTCCTAATGACCACAGAGTGGTTTAAATAAGATGGAGAGAGACATTCCATAAAATGTGAGCGAGACAGATAGTGACGCTTACGGACGCAAATAAGTAAAATAGACAGTTTCTTTTTTTATGATTAGATTTATTACTTTTTTTATAAAAGATGTTCAAATTGCCGTCCTTCAGCTGCAATACAGGCTCGACATCTCCTTAAAAAAGATCGTGAAATGAAGCGGGCAAATCGTCCATTATTCACAAATTCTACTGCTTCCGCTATTCTCTGTCTAAGCTCTTCTACATTTTGAATCGACTTGGAATAGACTTTTTCCTTTACTGCTCCCCAGTACAAAAAATCAAGAGGATTTAAATCGGGTGAGCGGGCGGGCCACGAGATTGTACCACCCCGCCCTATCCATCTGTCTGGATACTCCTCGTTAAGGTGGTTTCGAACTAAGCGGCTGTAATGCGCTGGACAACCATCTTGCTGGAACCACATATCTCGTAAAATAGTAAGCGGCACGTCCTCCAGCAAATTGGGCAAATGATTTTGTAAGAAATCTATTTAGATTAGATATTATTTATTTAAATTTCAGCATTTAAAACTTCTGGTACCTCAAAAGGCCCTATGACTTTTCCGTTCAAAATTCCAGTCCACATGTTAACTTTGAAACGGTACTGTGATCTGT